TCTTCATAGTCGTCTATAAAGATAAATGTACAAAAATGTAAGAATCTTATCTGTTAATTAGTTTTATTATTAGGGCTGTCAATTCGATTAATTGAATAAAATTACATTATATCAGATATAAAATTAAGAGGGGAAAAAATAGGCATAAAGGGGGAGAGTAGAAGGTCGATTAAAATTCAATTATTTTCGACTAAATTTTTAAATCGCTATTAATACTTTAATTGACTAATCAGTCGATTAAATTAATCGAATTGACAGCCATAATTATTATTATATTAAGTAAACTTCGTTCGTTTGTTATATGCTTTATTTCTTGATTTATACCATTTCAATACAAGGTATTTACAGTCACAGTTGATGTTGTAGAGATTGGTCAACTAAAGCATCTGATTCCATAATTAGTCCCAGTGAGAAATTAGAACAGGGAAACACATTTCGGTAGAAAAACAATCAAATCAGATCAGACGTTGATTTCGTGCAAACTACTCGATAGAACAATTATTCAAAAAGAAATATTTTGTTACAAGGAAATCTCCAACTCAATTTTTATACAAATGCTACTACATTTTTTAAAGTTGCTTTTAAAATGTTAATATTTTTCTCATAGAGGTGAAACATCGGACGACAAGCCCGATCGGTGATCTGGTATATCTTAGATTGAAGTAACTGGATTAGGTTTGATGTCAAGCTGTGATTCAATAGGAATAAATTCTTCTGAATTATATTCTACATAAGTTCCATTGATCTTTCTAAGAATATTACAACTACTCTTACCACGGCTGAGAGATTCTTTTGACGCTGAAAGGGCTAGAAGCCACTTGTGCACTTCAGCGGCCACCTCAACGACCGAGGCCTTGAACTATACTGTTCTGCGTGGTTGAGAAGCAATATTCCCTGCCGAAGGAGGTCCGAGTCCTGGTCTTTCTTGGCTGGATAAAGCTGAATAACAAGTTTTAAAATCCTCATTCTTGAATTGGGTTTCGAATGCCCTCATCTCCTTTTTTCTTCTCTAAAATGTATGCAGTGTGACTGCAAATACTGCGAGAAATTACTAAGAGATCTAGGCGACTGCTTCAACAGGTTCAAGTTCAGGAACCTATTTGACCATGTGAGAATAACTTGATATTGGTAATCTACAACCATACAACCAAATACCTGTATATGACACCATCACAACACAAGGATAAGCGAGACTGTGTACAACAACTCAAGCATCGAAAAAATCCTGCAGAGGAAACACGAGGACTCACCCGAATGAGGTGAGTAACGAGAACACCTGAGGAGAACGTGTGTCACTCTTTTTGTGCGACACATTTGGGAGTGAATGTTTTCACAGCAGACAGGGAAGAGGACCAGAGCACACGCCCTTGACACGCACTTTCCATTCATAGACTGTGTCTGGTCAGAGAAGCCTCCGGGTCTTCTTGCCTGAGGCAGTCGGAGGGGGTGGGGGAGGGAGATAGGGAAGGAGGGACTCGACAACTCAGACATCTGATGATGAAATGCAAATGCTTCTAGCTCTTCTTCCACAGAGTAGATGGCAGCCTTACGCCTTTGGTGTCAGAGAGCTGCCCTGTACAGCTGGTACTACTACCAGTGCAGATGAAAAACCTTTTATTGTAGAGGTGTTGAGAGTTGACTTCTGAGGAACTGCGAACCACTGAGCAAAGATATCACACTTAATGTCAAACCTATTCCCGGTTGTCTTCGAAGAATTTTCAAGGGGGTCCAAGTCCCATCTACGAGGGTTGTCCGAAAAATTCTCTGTATTGATTTTTAAAATGAGTTACCATCGTAGCTGCTAGAGAGCTTTGGTTGCCGTTTTTCAGGAGGACGGGGATGCGAACGTATTACTAGGCGTTCAAGTTCTAGATTTTCTAATGGCAGTTTGGCTACGCGTTCCATATATCGAACGAAGAGTAACATCCACGGATCTCACCGCAGATGGCGTTCAAACGACATCCAATCTAAGGGCATTATCGACTCAGTGATACACAGCTAAGATACAATCTGGTAAACGCACAAATCCCCAGATATCCAAATGTAATGCATTTACCCCTTGTTTTGATCTACTGCACATAAATTTTCTTTCCTTAAGAAGAGATTTCACTATAGGAATGAAGGTTTCAGTTTGCCTACTGGACTAATGTTCTTGATTCCTTTGTCTGTTCATCATGGTCGCATGTAGACGTTGCAACCCTTGACTGCGACCGGAGTTTATCTGTCTCATTCTCCCATCATTCATTATCGTCAACAGCATATTTTATGCTTCCTTATGCTAATTCCTAATAATGCTTCTGTCCGTCTCTCATGGCAAAGTAAACGAAGTTCATGTCCGAGTTGCATCCTACTTTTCTGATGGCGAAGAGGACATGTCAGTTGCTGTTCTGGGGGATATTTGCGTACATAAACGTACATTTCTATTAGTCGGGAAACCCTTGCTGCAGACGCGAGACAATTGTCTAGAAGCCCAACCTGGACATACTGTACCTTGAATTTCAGCTGCTTCGCCATCAATAGTAGCTTTCCTTCCTGGATGACTGACTTAAACGAATCACGCGACTATTACGCGTTGTACCGAAGCTCTCGCGCCTATCAAGTCGTTCCTGATTGGTGGATCTTGCGTCGCGATCACGTTCCTGGGAGAACGGCTGAAGAGCCCCTCCACGTCTTAGACGTCTTCCTCACGCATTTTAAAACTGCTGGTGACGTCACCAGTGACATCAGTCGTCCTACATCCATTGCCGTCCTCTCGAGAACGGGTAACCAAAACTCCTTACTCTCTCCCTGTATCGCTAATTGCTTCTGTCAATCGTTCAAATAATGACACGTAAATTATTGGATAAAAGAGGACTTCCTCCCACCTAGGGAATATATGAAGCCATTACATGCATTCCACTAAGTTGCAACTTAAGGCTAATTTCGCAATTATCTTTATAGGAATCCATTAGGAATCCATGCTTGTCTCCTGTTGACTTCACCTTTCGTGAAAAAAGTATCAGGATTGCACTTCCCCCCAACAAATATCGCTGTTACAAGAATCAACGATGACCTATAGGTCATCGTTAATGCTTCGCCTATGAGTATACTCAGGCGAGGGCTATCAGTTTCCTCCGATGGGGCTGGGAAATGCGAGCATTTTCTAGATCTATATCTGCTTACTTTCCAGTAGACATCATGACGTCCCCGTGAGGAGCCTGGGAAAGCCCGACTTTGTTATACCTACCGTAATGCTGTATCCTGCCCGACCTCGAGACATGAGCCAACAAACTGGACAAGCCCACATCAGCAGCGGGCAGACTTTCGGAGACGGAAATGACGGAGGGTGTGGCAGAAAGGTTGAGATGTGGAAGGAGAGCATGACGAGCAACACTGCAAGATACGGAGATCGCGAGATCTGCTGCTAGCAATCCTGTCTCCGCTGCCACGGGAAGGTCTTTCTGGCACGGATCCCACTAGAACATGATTCTTCCATGGTAGACGGCTTGAGGTTAGCTGTTGTTCTGAACTTTGGCATATCCACTACCACTCCACACTTAGCACTGCTTCCATTTTCTAGCAAGTTGTTCGCTTTCTCCAGTCAATGGATTGTGAAATCCTGATGAGATGGACTGAAGTTGTGGGCAAAGTCAGCTGAATGCCATTCTGGCACTCATTTAATTTCCTCGCAATAACCTGTAACAACTACAGACTTCTCATGACGTCTTTTGTTTTTATTAATGCGGAATAATGAGTTTATCACCAAACTTATCCTGAATAAAGAGCACGCCCTCACAGACCAATGTCTTTTTTCAGAATAGGAATTGGAACAGTAGAGGCTGAGAAACGAGGATTCTTATATGGTGGTCTCTATCAAAAACCCCAAAAATAGTGAGGGGACCTCTCTGTGTTCCCTCACTTTTGTCCATTGTTTTGCCGCTAAGGCGGAGCTGGTGAAGCAGAAACAGAAATAAGATAAAAGAAGAAAGAAGGCAAGTTACAAAAATAAAATTCTTGAAATAAATAGAGTACGAGCCGTTACTAGTAGAAAAAGGGATTAGTCTGCAAAGGTACCCACCTTTCGGAAGCTGTAATTCTCAGTATATAGATCTATCTTTTCTGATTACATGTACGTGAACGCAATTTCACGAACTATCCTTTGATGTCCAACAACTTGGGTTTTGTCAAAACCCACATCATGTTGACTTTCACAATGTATCCAAAGATGTAAGTAAATAAAAATACTGTGGTTGTTACTGGCAATCATTGCTAAAACTAACCATTGTTTACACGAGATTTCTGAAACAGACCTGACTGCACCGAAAGTTTCAGCAGGACCATGCTCATAAAGAGAATCCTGTCATTCTTACAGATTCCAAGGGCTCCTTTCCTCTATTCAATTGATTGCCTCCCTTATTTGGAGACAGATTTGATCGGGAATCCGGCATTGGGATGCAGAATAATATTTCCCCTTTGTTTTTTTCCTCTGTCAGTCAGTAAGTGTAGCTGCCGAGATTTTCGCAAGCATCACAGCGTAGGATAACGATGGCAGGGCTAATGTAATTAGTTTTCGTGTTTCTTTCGTTCGTTCAAAGCCAAAACACGGACAGAGAGGAAGGACCTTCTTGGAAGAAAAGCAACCAATGGAAACGTCAGTAAGATTGGAGACGAGAGACCACCACATCCCCTATATGGCACCATGCGAAAAGTGCAAACTGGACATTGTTCTCGTCATTCTCTTCCTGCACTACCCACGAGTAGCTCTGGTGAAGAGGATCAGTAATGTTCTCGAGTTGTGAACAAGGGTTCACATTCCCAAGAGCATCAGGATCATGTCCAAGAAATTACATCGGTGAGTAGCTTCATATCTCCAAGAAAGGAATTGTAGAAATGGCGCTCGATGATACGGAATAAGCACTGCATGAAAGAACCACACTTCCCTCAAGCTGGTACTACCACTTTCCGAGTCATAAAGCACTGACTAACCTATTGCTAAAAGGAAAAATGCAAAATGAAGGAAATTTTGGAATGAATAAAAAATACCAGGCAACTCTTTAATCCATGACACAAAACGAGAGGAAACAGTGGCAGTTGAGTTTGGAACGCGTTTCGCAATCACTCGTTGGACACAAATCACGGGGACGGACACGATCGCTCGCGTATTATTTTTCGAAGAATCGGAGAGGTAAGCATGCCTGGACCCAGAGCCCAGGGTGCTCCAGCATCTCCAGCCACAAGTTTCGCTCCGATTCTCCCGACTGGTCCACCAACCCACAGCGCACCCCACCCAGAAGGGTATGGCTGGCTAGTCGGTCGTGGTCGTGGACGGTGAGCTCGAGGATTCGGGGTCGGAGGTCCGCCAGGGACACATCCTCGAAGCTGAATTCGTGGTTCCACACCGGGTTCACAGATTTCTTCACTGCCGCACTCCGTTGCTTCGAGGTCCGCTCCGACAACGCATGGAACCGCCCTGCTCCTGGCGAGAGTGTCGTCGGTTTCAACAGGCAGCTGCGAAAAAAAAGGCAAATCATAAAAAAAAATTTTCTTTACCTTCGATCAATTTCGCATAGGGTTTTACACCCCCTGCTTTTTCAAGGTCTGCATCCAGTGAATTTCCACGACTGCTCGAATTGTTGCGCGGTGCAAGCTCAATCATATTGTACAGGGTGTCCCAAAAGTCTCAATCTATTTTTGTGATATAGCAGTAATTTTTTTATTATTATCATACATTTAGATTAAAGTGAAGAACCTCAACAGTGAGTAACCAGTATCGGTTTTACATAAGTGACCAATTGTCGCTGATTGGGAAAATCAAAGTTGTCACCTGGAGATTAGAAGGGATAACTTCGTAAGAGATTCACACACGTTTCCAGCGTCGATTTGGACATGGAGGTCCAACTGACGAAGCGATCAAAGAATTTTGTCAATAGGACAGGGAGCTCGTTTGACGAGAGTCGGAGTGGACGACCAAGAATATTGGCAGACACCGTTCATGTCGTACGGAATGCTTTTGAGTGCAGTCCGTGAAAATCTGTCCAACGTGCGCCAATGGAACTAGCTGTGTCAAATAACACTGTTCACCTCATCTTCAAATGTATTCACAAGGCTAGTTCCAAGGACGCCGGACGAGATTTTCTTAAATGCATTCTATACGTCATGAATGGTGTCTGCCGACGTTCTTGGTCGTCCGCTCCGACTCTCGTCTTTCGAGTTCCCCGTCCTCATTAAATTTGTTAACAAATTCTTTGATCGCTTTATCAGTTGGAACTGCATGTCCAAACCGACGCTGGAAACGAGTGTGAATCTCTTAAGTTATTCCTTCCAAATTCCAGGTGAGAAATTTGATTTTCTCTATCAGCGGCAATATGGCCACTTTTGTAAAACTGATACTGGCTTCTCACTGTTGAGGTCCCTCACTTTATCTAGACGTATGACATTGAAAAAAATATTGTTATATCGCAAATATAGATTGGGACTTTTGGGACACCCTGTATGAGCACCTTAGGTTAGCCAACACTTTCCTATATACACACTTCTACTTCACATGAATCGTGGCACCATGTTTTTGAAATACAGCTTGGAATTCATCTCCTTTGCACTTTTTTTTGGATCGGAAAATTTTAGACCTTGGTGAAAAAAATCACTTCCTCCATGCAAATCACTTGGAAGCAGATCTTCATGTAACCCATGCAATCTTGTTCAGCTCTGAAGGAATTTAATCAATCCAGTCATTGGTGAACCAGTCCAAACTAGCGAAATTAATAGCCATCAAGACACTATGATGAGAGCCTGAAGTTATCTAAGAAAGACCATTGATACTGAATAGAGACCAAGTATGAATAGCTCTTAATGACTCAACTTGCTGCATGAATATTAATGTTTAATAATTAAAAGATTTTATATTCAAGGAAGAAAATATCAAGCTCCTGTTCTCATATATTAGTTAATAAATGATAAAAGTCCAAAAACTAAAGACAAAATTTGATACAATAACATGATGGATGTCACAACGATGTGTCATTATTATGAACTCCAATGCCCACTGCTTGGACAGAGGAGGAATGATTTAATAAAGAAATGACATATGAGAAAGGGTCACTGAACTCCCACTACTCTCTTCAACTAACAGGATGTTGATTTTTACTGCCAAGATCAGCTAAAGATGCCACACTTGAAAGAGTTTCAGTGAAAAGGGACTTAAGAGTTGCATTATTTTAGGGTACAATGTTATGATCATAAAATGAAGCAATTCACTTCTAGAAAAGGCTGCTCTTCAGATTCAATGAAAGTAAGCACAAGTAAGCACAAGATGACAGTATTTCCAAATTGATGAGACTGGAGTACCAACATTTTTTTTCCATTACCATAAGGGCTTTAGTCCAGGAAAGCATTAGCATTGCTATCTATCACATAGTTTAGCACATTTCAGTCCCACAAACTGTCACAAGACTTATGCTAAATTTCAATTAGCCCATGCTTCACACTGAAACCTTGGAAGGAAAAATGGAAATTTGAGGGGAATAAAATCATAAGAATACTGTGAATACCATTATATCACCTGAGCTTTCACAATTGACCCTTGCACTTTTGTCTAAACTTCCCTAGTAATGGCATTGAGAGAGAACTCATTACTATATGTGGATAAAATAAATAAATAGAAATGAATCAGAGACCTAATTACAAATGATATTTTTCCTTTTTTGAGAATTTCAATCCATTAACTAATCAATTTGGTAGCCCTAGGCCAACTATATTATTATGAATGATGAGAAGGGAGAATTTAACAAAAGTGGAAGATAAAACAGGAGAAATCCAAACTGGAAAACTTGGAGGAAAAAATGCATCAGAAACGTCAGGATTGGACAGTGCAGTGTATTTTGGTACTACAGCAACACTGGTACAGCCGAGCATGTGTGGTCCCTTCCCTATCTGCACTGACCCCTGCTTCTGTGATTACCATGCCCTTAAGCATTAATAAGGTATGTGTAACTTATAGCTACTCTAACTTGCAGATACTGCATATTTCAAGCCCAAACTATGCATTGAGGGCATACACCAGCAAAAAAACCTGGTAGGGAGGCATAGTTGGGTGTAGAAAACTCCATACTGAAAGGGTTAAGCAAGTCCACAATTGTCAAAATTGACCATAGCATTTGGCAGTTAGTGCTAAAAGCATCAACTGCCAAAGGGAAGGCACTAAAGCATTGCTGCACTACCTGAACAAAACCTTGATGATGCTGATAAATGATGTCACAGAACTTTTCAAAGTCATAGTTACTGAAATTTCTGAAAGATATGTATAGCAAAGTGAAGTTTCCTTTGAACTACAAGGCATGAATAAGATCCACTTGTACTTTCATGTTGATCATATCAAATGAGACTTTGCATGAGAGGATGGTGATCACCAAAAACATGGCATAGTATGTAAAAGGTGAAGATGAGAGGTAGACATACCATTTGAGGAAGGCCTCAATGGCGCCATTGGGACGGAGTGGGATGAGGTCCCTGGCCTCCTTTACCAGGATAAGGAGTTTCCCTGTTGAATGGGAATGGGAATGGGAGGAAAGGGAGGCAAGGCTAATCTTGGAAGGTGTGTGACTGGACCCATCATGTTCTGTGTATTTCAGGGCCACAATTAGTGTGCCCCGGCTTGATGTGTCCTGATGCACCAGCTCTTCCGGGCTCTGTGTCTACATGTGCAAATCAAAGAGATGCATGTGATGACTGCCATTTCATTTCAAGTAAGCTCACCTTACATTTATTCTCATATTTTTACTTCTTTACATATTTTGTCCAATTATTTGCTGTGGCAGAATGGCTTCATTCATGTCATTTCTAAGAGGAACAAATACATGTTTTGATATTAGATCTTCCAATACCAAGGAAAGAAAACTACTATTTAACTACCTTCCCCTACTTGGAGATGAACTATGAAAACAAAAAAGGAGTAACTGTGTAAGGCCACTCTCAACATCAAAAGATCTAAAAATGTTAAAATTCATGCAGATATGACTCTTACACATTCACCATCTGAAAAAAAAACTCCATGAGATCTACCAACAATGAGTTTTTTTTCTGAGGCATGCCATCATATGTTGTGGTAAACAGGATGACCAACGGGTGTACAGTTCTACAAGCAAAAACTAGATACCTACTAGAGGCAGGCCTTCAGCATGACCTCACATGGGGATTAAGTCACCTTGGAGTGAAAGGGTTTCCCCAGAACAAAACTTCTGAACTCCTTGATATGCCTTCATATGTCAAAATGCTGCTATATCATAATTAGGCAACTATTGCATTTTGATGTCTCATCCAGAAAAAGAGATAGTTGACTTATGATCAGTCTGAAGTTTGCATATTCCAAATAATTTCCCAATGCATCAAACCCACCTCTAAGGATCATTTAGACCAGGGGTTTTTCAATTTTTGTTCTGCCCTCCCTAAAAAATTTCTCAAATCATGCCCAACTGCACAACTTGGGAGGGGGGAGGAGCCATCTTGTGAGCATTTTTTCTGTTTCTTTGATCTGGTACTTCTTCCTTGTTCCTCCAACCTCATCAAAATCCCACCTGAAATTGTTCAGATGGATAACAGCTGTACATTCAAACCCATTCCAACTGAAAAGCAGCTGGAAAACACCGGATCCAGGTTGATTCCCAGTTGGCTGGTTTACAACTGGTATTGTTAGCTGTTTCCTGCTGGGATTTTTAACTAGAGAGCCAGCAGCTGAAGTAGGATTGAATTCACAGCTGTAATCCAGCTGCTTCCATAGTTGCAATCCAGCAAGAAACAGCACAGAAAACCATTTGTCACTCAACAAGCTAAGTCAAGTTCATTCAAGCTAGAAATCAACCAGTATCCAGCATCATTTTGTAGTTGTCTCCCCAATGGAATGAGTCTGAGGTTTCCATTTCCAGCTGGACAATAACTATAACTCTTTCCAGTTGGGATTTTAAATAGGACCAGCATTCTTGTAGCTTTCCATCTTATTGCATGCCTCTAAGGGGGATGCCTTGCAGTTTGAAAATGAATGGTTAAGGCAAACCATCTTGCTATGGCCATGAGCAAAAGAAATGCTAAAAAAAAAGAAAAAAGACAGCAATCATGACAGAGACTGAATCCAAGGCATGCCAGAGCATAGCTGGGGACCATACCATTAGGGAGCAGGTTGAGGAAGAGCTACCTCATTTGGGCTTCATCAAGTACATCCACCCAGACATTGCCAGTTCCACAAGTAAAGTAACTCTAGTCCCTAAGAGCAATTACCTGAGTCAAGTATATCTAGGCACTTCCTAATGCATCAGTATCTTCATCACCACTTTTCCTTTCATATAGCTTTTCAAATTATGTCCATTCTTCACACCTACTTACAAATTTCAACTACAAATAAAAATGCTAGTCAAAATCATGAGATGAATGCCAATGATGAGTTCAAGAGACATAAGGCCACAAGAAACATACACGATCCTGGAGAGAGAACCATCGGGGTAGGGGATTGGCCAAGTCCATGTCCTTCAAGGCCAAGGACACCTCACCAAGGAAGTCGTTCCGGCCAAACATGTCAGAGTGCCACACCGAGACCAGCAGTGTTCTTGTCTGCACATCCTCCAATGTCACTGGAAACTGGGGAACAAATGAAACATGAGAATTGCAGCACATGATTTGGAAATCCAATGATTGGGACCAGGGATACATCTGAGGGCAGGGGGGAGGGCTCATATCCCCCTTAAAGTGACTGTAACCTTCACCACTTGACTATTTTGTAGCCATACTCCCTTCTTCCTGCCCAGGATATTTCGTAGCTGATTTTCCCCAAAGGCATAGAAACAGAGAGGGATGCAGGATGCATGGGTCCTGGACTCCACTCAAAGGAGGGGCAGACCTTTAACCCAGCACCCTTCTCCCTTTGAGCCTTTTGCCCCAGATCTCCCCAATAACATTTCTGGCAATGCCCTTCATCCCCCTCTATTTAAATATCCTCAGTGCATCATTGAGTGGAACATGAATCTGCAACTAAATGAAGCCCTCAGTAAAGAATTTACAATTGGCTTTTGCAGTAGGCCAGCCAGGACTCTCCAAATGGGGTCATCAGCAAACCAGTCAGAATTTTCTTTACAACTTTGTCTGTAAACTACTTACAGTATGCCTTTCTTAATACAATTTTGCATGCCAGTTATGTCTTCAATTTTAACAATGCTACTGAGAATCAGGAAGTTCAAATACATACAGATTTCTATTTGTCCAGACATAGCATTACAAAAGATCCTTTTCATACTCCTCTGGATTAAAAACCACATACTAGGTCCATCAAGAAGTTCTCAGCCTCACCCACAAACCAAGCAAGCAGCAATTTTTTTTTTTACTCTCAATTTTCATTGTAATGACCTTCATGCTCAATGACTCACTCTCAAGGATCATACAACATTCTAATACCAGATGTGTAAAAATATTCTTCTTGCTGTCAAGCCATTCTTGCACTGTCAAATTCAGCCAATTGTCATCCCCAAAACACTTTTCTCAATGGTCCTTTTTTACATTTGCCAACAGTCAAAGTCATTTCCAGACTGTAATCTGGATACATGGCTCCAACTGAGTATTATCTGCTTGCAAATCTTTCTCCTTAGAGAAAGGTGTTTCAGCAATGATGATGAGCTGAAATAGACTGTGCAAGAATGGCTTGACAGCAGGAAGAGTATATTTATGAATCCAGTATTAAAATGCTGCATGATCATTGAGAGCAATTCATTGAGCATGATGGTCATTCCACTGAAGATTGATAGTAAAATAATATCCGTGTAGGTTTGGTTTGAAGGTGAGGCCAAGAACTTCTTGATGGACCTGGTAGCATCTGTGATTATGCACACAAAATCAGAGGAGCTTACATGACTGCAGCATTCTTAAGTCCACACATTCTCCAAAACTTTGTAAAAATCCTCTTGTTTGTTTCAATGTTTTGTGTGACAAAAGTCAAGACAATGAACCCATCATAGGTGAACCCTGGGAAATAAATCTGCAAAACTACAAGTTTTCTGGCTTTGAAGCAAGGCAATTAAAAACAAAATACTATATATAGTAAGAGCAGGGCCCCTGAGCATATAACACAAACAGGAACCTAGGCTCAATTCCAACTGCATACCAACTGAATTCCAGGTCAGTCGTTTTGATGACTTGATGAACAAAATCTACTCCTGAGGGCACTAGTTAAATCTTGTTTGAGGCAAATGACCATAACTATTTGACCAACAAAATGACTTGCTTAACTCATAGGTCATAGGGCCACCTGTCCTTGATTTTCTGGGACTCTCCCACATTAACTCCATAGGAGCGCACTCCAGGATCAAGAAAAGGGGGTTAAACCCTAACCAAGCATTCGAGCAAATTCTGAACTTTGTAGCTTCCCAAACATCGAATAAATTTCATTATCAGACAGGAATGAGTAAGAAGTGAGACATCATCACGAGACTAATCAAATGTATTGTTTCCATATAGTTGCCAGTACGTGCATGGCGCGATGCATTCAGGGCTCTCGTATTTGTAATGGGTCATGGTTGAGGTCGACTTTATCAGTAAACTCTGGAAGTAGGCCTTGATCATATGCTTTCTCTTGCACCACGCTCTAGTATGCAATTTCTGAAAAGCTCACACCTTCCGAATCCATTTCGTTGCTTCGACGCAGAAAGCAAGGGAAGTTTTTAACCTTGAGGACTTCGTTGAAGATGGGGTTAAGGGTGTGCTTCTTCACCTTGGTCTTCCTCTTCCCCGTCTTGCTCCGGTCGGGTAGTAGGTACACCTTCACGTACCTAAATCGATCAACATGAAGGGATTTTGTGAGTCTGGTTAGAAGAAAGAAAAAGGAAAAAGGAGGCCAGTGACACAGACGGGTCGGAACGATTGCGGCGTGCATCCACGGCTGCCAGATCCCGGCATCGCTTCACGTGCACCTCCAGCCACGACGACGACTCGTTGAATTGCACACAGATTTGCACCTGCCCGCCGATTTTCACAGGACTTCCACTCGTCTCTGTCTTTCCGTCTGACACCACCTGGGAGGGAAAACATTAACCCATGCAGTAGCTATAAGAGTCCGATACAGGTGCCAGCATAGTTTCCATTCACCAACGGGCAGAAGCGGGGCAAGGGGAGGAGATCAACATGCTTTTGTCTGTTTATTCCATCTGACTTCGTATCAATACATCGACATGAATCATTTTTCATCCAAATAAGGATCCCATCGAATGTGCCAGCTTTTTACAGTTACATCATGTTGTTAGATAAATAAAAGTAAAATATGTCCTCAAATTGAGGATAGGTTTGTGCGAAATGAAAGTAGTCGAGTGAGCCTTGCGCAACAAGCGCAACCTCCAATTTCTTGCAGAGGTGGTCCCACACACTTGACGAGGCATCAATGCTAGGACACCATGGCTTCAATAGCAACCCAGTTGGGTTTCTTCGGTCAATAAGTCTTTCGTACAGTCCAGAGAGGGGGGGGGGGTATTAACTCTGGCAGAAATCTAGCAAAATTATTCCATTTTAATAAAATGTATAACTATAAAATAAATTTATGGCGTGAACGTGGGACTGGATGGATTGAAATAAAGTCACCCGAACAACTGTTCTCACCGGTACGGAAAGTTGGGCAACCGTATCATATGGGACAAGGGGAGGCAGGGTTGTCCGCGACCCCCAAAATATGGGTGAATCATGGACTTCAACAGTAGACTTTTTTGGTTACGGATACGGAATGTGGGAATTACCGATGGGGAATGTTTGAGACGGGTGGTGGACGCGGAGGGCGTGATGGGTTGCGAGAGGTATCGATCGATGTCATCGGAATCTGTGCCGGATCCGGCATCACTGCCTCCATCCGGAGTCCAATTCCCACTCTTGTTTGGAGTCGAGTCTCGAGACCCACCTGTACACGTGGAACAGCAGGGATGTCATAAAAATATAGAAAACACAACCCCCATCAACTTTCCTCCTGCGCCTCCTAACATGCACTGGAGCACTGGATATTACAGGCCTACAGTAAATTTTAGACTGCTTTGACTTTCCTAAGCTATACACTAACTCAAAAAAAGAGCGATTTCAGCCATCTGGATTTTCTTTCGTTTCGGGCAGGAAAGCGAATCGAAGAGACGGAAACTCGGCCAAGTCATTGCACAGACGAAAGACGGCACCCTCTTTGACAAAGGAGGGCTTGGACATCATGTCCCAGTTCCCCTTGAAATAAATAAAGGCAAAAAAAAAGCCTGGTTCGTGACTCATAAAATGCTGCCGTGTGAGACGATAAAGGTATAAATACCTTCTTACTTCATAAGAGAGAATTCAAATGCGGATAACGATAAAAGTCAGATAGGCAGTATCATCCCTTCCATCTCATCCCGTTCCACTTCCTCTCCTCGTTTCCGCTTCCGCATCGACCCATAAAAAACCATTTTAAAAAAGCATTTCCCTCTTGCGTCGTGAAGCGACAAAAACGCCAATCCTGACTGCTTCGCCCAAACAAAATTAACGATACTGGCCCAATTAACACACTTGGATGGATTTCGTGGGCGGGGGTAATTAGAGAAATAAAAAAGACAGCTGGGACTGCGGTTTTGCGTGTTCCCTTAAAAAAATTCCTCTTCATCTTGCGATCCCGTTGAAAAGGCGCTTCAGGTGGAATGGAAGCCAACAGGTGGGAATGGAAGCCAAGCCAGGCCTGAGAAGGAGGCCGTGAGGAATCTATCATGAATCACACACGCATTCACACGGCCTTGATGCAGAGCTCAGGGTTTTTTTGCATTACATTACACTTCACGAGCCACGAAACACAGCACCGAAACGAGAAAGTACACGGCGTTTCGTGTCAAATCCCAGTTATTTCCACATATGTGCAATAACCGTTAAGCTAACCAACACATTTGGAAAACCGGTGAAGGGATGGTTTTCCACAGCGAGACACGAGCAAGGTTGTCGGATCCACCCGCAAAGTCCCAGTTCGAGGTCGACCCTAACTGGATATTATGTGGCGGTTGACGGGTTAGAAGTAAAAAAAAAGAAAAAAAAAGAAACCGTTCTCTCTCCCCCAACTTGAAGGGCGTCACACAAAAAAGCGGTGCAGTGAAATGAACTTTTTTTTTACGATTCCGCTCATTCACAGTTCACTTCCTGTCATTACAGACCACGCCATTAGACCTATCGTCTTCCTTCGTTCCAGGGAATGAAAAGAAAAAGAAAAAGAAAAAACAGTTGGGATTGGGATTCAATGCAATTTTCCAAAGAATTCCAACCTGTCCAACTCCGCCGTGCCGTGACTTCGCAGCCGTCTTTTACTTCTATCGTCCATTCTCTACTCTCCCACCGAAGACCTTTCTTGTCTTTCTGTCCAAACCCTCTCACGCACGTCATGGACATAGTGTAGATATCTTCACATCCGTTCTTTTAAAATTTTGGTAATTCAAAACAGTACACCCCTGTCTTCTATGAATGATGTCCCAATTAACCTATCCGTTACTGAGGGGAGTCCTGGCAGTACTCCATGTTAAACTAATTTTTCAAAAATTAAAATTGGTAAGACATTAATTTGCGTTTTTCTTTAAGGGTGTTAAAATATGCGATTTTGAAACTATCAACGCATCAATAACTTTATTAGGCTGGGGTACTTTGTGTAACCCCTTCAGTAAAAGGTGATCACTGAAGACCTCAGTAACGGAAGGGTGAAGTTCATTCTCCTCTTGTCTTTCTTCTTCCTATGACTTCAAAAAATTCGTAAGAAACACTATCTTTTTTCTTCACTCTCAAGCAATCAACACCAACTATTTACGCTTTCTCCTGGGAATAAAAAAAAAAGTGTACTATCCATGGATTCCAAGGGACAAGGCTGTTAATGAGTTTGTTAATGTTTCGCCACATTAGAGAGATTTTCGAGAACGTCAAGTTCTTAGGGTACACGCCAAGCGGGCAGGTTTAAAATAATTTATTGCAATGGTCCTGACTTTTTTATTTTTAGGTATATCACTTGAGTTGTGGTAGAATCGACAAAACAGAAATTGATGCTAGGCACCAGATAGATTAAAATTAAACTAACTTGATTTTACAAAGGTCCCCTATGGAAATCGGTTTGACGGTGATAAAATGTTTATCATGAAACCATATAAGTTCAAGGTCTGACCTGGCGCATGTCACCCATTAGGTGTGAACTCAAGACTCATTTTCTTGCTCTTTCTATTTCACCAGGGAAACCTTGCTTTGAAAGCTGAATGTACATTCATAAAGGTATCGTATCTATGTATCACGTTACAAGCATCTGGGTCTTCTTTCTGCAATTCCTATCAATTCGTGCCCACTGGAATGAAGCTTCGTATCCGGCAACCAAGTTTCAAAACTCACGTTTTCCTCGGCTTGAAATTTCAAAATTTCTTCAAAATCTGTGCGATCTATAGGGCCCACCTTCCTGGCTCTCGTCCATAAACTTCGCTCCCAAATTAAAGTTTAGATTCTCACGGTGTGCCTCTGGTGTCGCACTAGCATTCTTCCTTGGTACAACCTTCGCATGAATTTCGCCGTTTTGCCTCGTCCTCCCCTTCATTCACGATCGGCCCACTCCCACTAATTTAATTTTAAAATTTACGCCTATGCGTCATGAATGATGGGTTTTTGTTCTTGCTTTGACAGTCCCTTTCTGGTTAAAAATTAAGACCTACTTGTAGTCATTACAAGTTAACACCTCTCAATACTTGAGAATCAAAACCCGCCATTTTTGTTCTCGCCCTTTGAAATCGTTCTACGGAATAGGAGAAAGAGAAGGACGTTTGGATGTTTGGAACTCCCGAGCAAGATTCATCCTTTTGGATAAAAAAAAAATTTCCTTGGATATTTTCTCGTCATGCACACAACAAACACTGATAAGCGCAAAAAAAACAGAACTCAGAATAGAAGCTGAGCATGGAAAGCGCTACTTTCTACTACTAAAGTCTACTGCATCTATTTACTAAAGTCAATAGATGCAAACAGCATAACTGAAATGGAAGGAAGGGAAACTTGTTTATAAATGTGATGGATTTTCCTTTTCTTCAAGAAACAATCCCTCAGCATATTTCTTTTTTAAATTAAATAAAAAATGTCGAGAATAATGTCGAGGACTCACCGAAAGAAAAGGGCGAGAGGAGGTGGGAGGAATGTGGGAGGGTGGAATTGGGTCGAAACCTTGCGGATCTCGGATTCGCGGGTCCGTCAGAACCACTCACGTGATGCACCGACGCCCCGTGCGTATGGACGGCTTTGGACCGCGGGAACAGTGACAAGCCGCTCTCACTCCGGCTGCTTTTCAGTTCCGGCGCCAGGGACGTCCGATTGTTACTGCTGTTGCCGCTACTCGATGTTCCGAAGAACCCAAAGACGGACACGGTCGGGGGTGCGGATGTCGTCGAGGTGGTAAGAGGCGGGGTGGACGGAAACGTTCCACGTGACAGGGGTGGAACGCCAAGCACCTCTTCCGAAGACTTGCTCTTCCGCCGGTTCCCCTTTGCCCCTAGGAACATGAGGGGTGTCTTAGGGATTCGATCCCGGGGCTTTTTCCCCGGATCCTCCGATAGCCACGACGGCTGGTAACCGGGTTCGTCCAATCGGTCACAGCTGGCCGAACGCGGTCGTCTCGTTCCCGCCCCGCTCTCCTCTTCCGCTTCCGAGAAGATCTTCTCCAACGAACTAGTGAACTTTTCTCTCTCTTCCGAGTCCAGGTCGATCCCTTTTCCCAACAGGGCCTGATGCCCCAGTTCGTAGGCCGATAACGAGCCCGAGGACTTGAGGAGATCATCTGATGAATAACCGCTCGTTTTCAATGTACTCGCCGGGCTCGTCTCCGTCTCTGTTTCTGGACCCGAAAGAGTACTAGACGTGCTGCGTTTCACCAACGTCGAGGAAGGACTAGCAGAGGGACTATCACTCAACGTCTTCACAGGTCCCGACAACGTTCCCAACGGGTTCTGGGTATTTAAAGGTCCCGTCAAAGTGGAACATGGACTGGCTTTCGGGGTATCGTCAGCTGACGACGAAAACGTCTTCAGCGTCGAATACGGGCTCTGAATAGGCGTCTTCAAAGTGGAACAGGGAGAGACAGTCGGCGTAGCGGATTCCTCAGGCTCTTCGTGAACGGGTTGCATATCGGGCTCGCCAGCACCACTCGATCCAGAGGATGAACCACCCGAGACCTCGTGCATCAATGCCACCAGCCTCGCTCCGATGTGTTGAAAGACCTTGGCCATGAGGGGTGGGCTGCCTCCCGGACTGCCACTCTTCTCCCCCCGGGGGCGATCCGCTACGATTCGCGTCATTAGGCGCTGGTAGAAGGCCGCCGTTTCTCGGGCCAGAGACGAACCGCCGTCGATGGGGTTGTCCTCGTCGTTCCCGATCGCCACGTCAAACTTCTCGATTATCTCCTGACAGGAGGCGGAGATCTGTTCCTGAATGTCCGGGTCGGCGTCGAAGTTGGGAAAACATCCCGCCGTGCCTTCCAGGTCACTGCTGGTGTAGTCGCTCGAGTCGTAACTGTCGCTCCACGTCTCCTCGCTGCTCAAGTACTCCACGATCTCCTTTACCTGTATTTTTCAGTCAAGAGCACAAACTACGTTATGTAGTTTGAATATCTGACATTTTTTGGTCACGGGCAATACTACCTTTGAAAGAGTTTCATTACTGAAGAGCAAGTAACTACTTGTCCAACTAGCAATCTATTAAAAGAGTTTACTTAACGAAAAGGCAGTTCAACCTTCTCATTTAACTACCTTTAGATGTTAGCAAAGTCATCCTGTCACAAGATGCGCTTTTTTGTCTGATTTTATTAACTTAGATGGCTACATTTTCCAATGAAAGTGAATATGAATTTAAGAAACATCTGAATTCACTTGGAAGAACCAGACAGTATACAGGGTATGATCACTTAATGCCATTGTTCATTTGCTCTCTTGACTTCACCGACTAAAAGTCGAACTACTTAAGCCTAGAGTAACTTTAACTGAACTGCTCTTATATGAAGCATTTAAACTTCGACTCCTTGTATTCTTTCTTCTAGGCAATAATTTAATAACAAAATTACTTAGTAGTTGACTTCACCGCACCTGATCCTCGTTGATCCCCGGCACCGTTTTCATCAGGTTCGTCAGCTTGTTCTCGAAGTCCAGCAGCTGTGGTGGTTTCATCTTCTGGTTCTTCTTGTCCCCGTAGGAGGAAGAAGAGGAGGAGGAACCCACCATGTTCTTAAAGAAGGCTCGCATCCGGTTCATCATGAGGTTCGTTTCCTCATCGCTGCTCCAGTTGTTGAAGGAGTCCTTGCGGGCGACCTTGACCCGGTGGCGGAGAGCGGGGGACGCGAAGAGGCTCGCGTTGGAGCTGCTCCGCGACGACGTCGTTGTCTTGTTCACGTCCTCCGATTCAGCCCCATTCTTACCCTCCTCCGAAGGGGAACTTTTTCCGGAATCAGGATCCGGCTTTTCTTCGAATTCTCCTCCCTCTTCCGCTTTCTTCTTCGTCTCCGTTTTCGACACGTCGTCCTTCAGCAGTTCTTCCGAACTGCCTAGGAATCCGGAATCCCGGTGTTTCTTCTTCTCCGATGGGAGAATCGCGACCGAGGAATCTGCTTCGTCTTTTGGTTCCGGTTTCGTTTCCGATGAGGATTTGGCGGGCGGTTCCTCGCGGGCAAAGCAAGGAAGGAGTTCTACCTTGTCCTCCTCGGATGCAGCTTCCAGGCTTCCAGAAAGCCGTTCCGATTTCCGTTCTCCATCAGACGAGATCTCGGACACGTTCTTCTTCTTCTTTCTCCGCTTGATCGTATCGAACTGTCCGTCCGTCTTCTCAAATGCCATTTCCTCCTCGGAGGAGGAATCCTTGCCGCGGGAGGAATCTTCGCCTCCCTCCTCCGCGTCGCTCCCCCGTCGGGGATTCCTCGGCTTCATCACCTTCTTCCGCTTTCGTTCAGGGCTTGGCTGCCCATCGCTTTCGCTCCCGACACTGTTGTTGGATCCCTCGGAATCCAGACCGAGGAAGCCGGTCATGAAGTACTTCTCCAGACGGGAGGAGGCAAGGTCTGCGGGATCCACGTCCACGTGAGCATCCATGGAATTGCCCCCCGCCCACTCCAAGCTCTCGCTCCACGCCGAGCTAGATGTCTCCGAGAAAGTGTCGCTGTACTCGCTCTCCTCGTTCGCGAACCGCTTCCCCTCGGTGGTGGTCGGGGTGGTCGGCCCGTCCCCAATATCAAAGTAGAAATACTTCTCCAACTGAGAAGTATTGGGAGGGCCGGGGCTGGCACTCATGCGGCTGTCGCTGTCCTCGCAGCTCTCTTCAAGGATCGTGTGAAGGGTGAAATCGATCGTCCGATTGTTATAGCCTCGGAGTTCCTCTTCCCGTTCGAAATACGGGTTTTCTTCCTCCCCAGACCCTTCACTCGTGTGAGGCTCCACTTCGTATTCGTCTGAATGCAAGTCTTCTTCCTCGTCTTCCTCAGACAAGAAGGAGCCTTCTTCGTCCTCTTCTTCCTCTTCATCTTCTTCTTCATCGTCCTGGTCTGGAATGTCCTGCAACAATTCTTTTTCTCGGACTCTGATGACGGTGGCTTCGTCGCGAGCAGGACCGCCGATTCGCAGCATTGTGACGGAGTTCTCTTTCAGATCCTCATCGACGGACGCGGAGGTATCAATCTTGATCACCGTCACCGCCTCCTCGTCCTTCTTCGGCTCCACATTCACGATCGTCACGCCTACCTCCATCCCATTCCCCTTCTCTTCCGGGACCATCTCGGTCTCCGAATCCGAACTCAGATCGGATCGAAAGCCCGTGGATAGCGTACCTTTGCTTCGATCGATGACCGTGTCCATGGAATCCGTGTCGGATTGCCCGACACCGTGACTGTGGGCCACAACGTCACTCACATTGTCAAGCAAGGCCGCTTCCCTGGATGTAAAACGCGGCCACCACTCCTCCGGATCAGGGGAATGAAACGAATGAGGAAGATCGGGAAAGAGGAGATGGAGACACAGATCGAGGCCTCCTGCACCGCTGCTTGCACTGCTGTTGCTGCTGCTCGTTTCATGTACGGGCGATGGGGAAGGGGACGGGTCTCTCGCCGCAGGGCCCAGCGGGTCCTCCGCGGGCACACTTTCCCCAGGCGAGTCCTGCGCGGCACCACTTTCCCGTTGCGAGACCCCTCCGGATCTACTTTCTCCTCTGACCTCCTCCTCTTCCTTGTCCAGGAAGTCCCCCTCCGTCTCCGATGTCTGCTGATGCTTATACTCCTCGATGAAAACATCGTCGTCTTCGTCGTCGCTAAGATCATCGTGGGTTGTCGCCGGGTCGCTCCGAATGGATGTCTCGTCTATGTTCGGTCTTAGAGATTCCGTCCGTCGCCCGCTGGAGTCCTCTTCCGACGAATTGCTGCTTCCATCCTTTTCCACCTCCTGGTCCAGATTCAGGAACAGGTGCAACTGTAACTGTTCCATATCTTCTTCCTTCGGAGGAGGCGGTTGATCCACATCCATTTCCGTCTGAGTTTCGCTGTCCACGTACTTCACGGCTTTCCGCATTTCCGTGTCTTCCAGGTCTTCGGAGCTGCTTCCGGTGGATGCACCGGTGGGTTCGGGTCGGACGTCGCCAGGTCGGACGCGGACCGCCGTTTCGCCGATGTGAATCCGAACCGAGCAGGGGGCTAACGCATCGTCTTCGCTCTCTGAGTCAGTGTGATAACTGCGTCGCCGTCGATAGTGCTGATAAGGATAGATCTTTTGGCTGCCCCGCGTGTACATGCTATGACTGTAATGCAGTTTCCGTCCCGGTGGGGAAGAACCGGATTCCCCAGCACTGCCAGGAGGACTCAGTCGTCTCTTGGGTAAAACCGGACTGTAGTAACCGTAGGAGACGGTGTTGCTCCGTTGGGGTTTATTGTTCAGTCGCTGTTGATCGGGTCGACGGATGATGATCTTGGTCCCGTTCCCGTGGGCTCCCTCTATTATCTCGGCATCACTGTTCTGATGATTCCGAGTTCGGGTCTCGTAGAAGTCCCAGTCGGATTCCTCGATGAACCCAGTGAGGTCGGAATTGCGAGTCTCCTCCATGGAAGAGTTCAACAGATCTGAGTCACGAGAGGAATCGGAACTGATGAACACGATGCGGTAATCGTTCCCTTCGGGCTGGATCTTCCCCGAGTCCAACACGATGTCACTATGAGTGGCTGTGGAGTCACTTTTGGTGCGTTTTGTGGAGGAGGCGAAAGAGGCATCAGAGGCGTCTTCTCCGTCCCTGCGCTCGTAGTCGGCATAACGTGGTTGAATGGGTGAACTAGATTTCAAGGGCGGCTCCTCCAGCCGGGCCCTCAAGGGCGGGTCTAGTCGCCACCGATAGATCCGCTCCTCGGCCCACGTGGATGTTGACGTCGATGACCCACCCCCTCCGTCCAACCAGGACTTGTGTCCTTGTCTTTCCCTTTCTTCCCACCATGGTGGTCGTTCCTGTCGCCGATCTTGTCGCCGGTCCAAGCTCCCCATCACGGAGATGATGGTCTTGTCCTGTCGTAGGACCACTCGATCCAGGCTCCCATACATCCCCCCTGAATCCACATTTGAAAAAATAAAAGCAAAAAAAGCTTTTTTAAAGCAACTAGGACGCTGCCCCGCCTCCCGAAGCAACTAAAAGCAAAATCCGGTGCATGGCTCTACATTGGAGAGAAGATCAAACAATATACGCGGATATGGCGGAAGGAGAAACACAAAGGGAGGAAAGGAGATTTTCCCTGATCCCGAAACCTGATACTTTGCCTGGGAAGGGAGGAATGAAGAAACAAAGGCGACGTGGGGTCACGTTACACCATTCTTCCACCGAAAACCACAGAGACCTGCATACTGGGCGCGGGAATCCATTTCCCTTCTACCGTAACCGGCATCAATAAGGAAAAGAACGAGGGATCAACTTCCGACCGGAGGTAGTGCGTGACGTGAATCACGATAGAAACTTAGCAAAAGAAAAAAAAAGGGGTGGGGGGGGGGAATATGGAGTGGGCCAATGTGTACGTTTTGGATAGGAAATACTTTGATACTTATCGAACGGGCAATTAAAACGGAGGACAAGCAAAGTCAATATATATTTCGAAAATAACACTCCGAGATTAGGTGTATCCCGACTGAAACAAAATTATTCCAGGATTGATATGATAGAAAACAAGAAAACATCGCTGTTGCATTCAGGCTAGGATACATTTAGGATGGCGATGAGTATACGAGGTGTGGCTATTAAGTTTCCAGACTTTATTTTTGTATTTTTTACAAAGTAAAAAATACAAAAATAAAGTCTGGAAACATAATAGCCACACCTCGTATATTAGCCGAAAGTGTCGTCAGGGGCATATTTTCTGGATGGAGCGGCAGTTCTTATTATTTCTGACGGAAGTTTTTCGCAATGTTAACTGAAAGCGAAATCAACAAATTTGATTTGCCTCTCGGCAGCTGTATCCTAATAAATCTCGTAAGAAGTCAGCGTTTGCTTCACATCTCCACAAGTCATTCCCATCAAAGAAGCAAAACTTGGACACGGCTTCGGCCAAGAGAAACCCATATATATTTTTTAAAGATGTACACGATTCCAACTCGTACTTCGTCGACGACCAAACTGACCGAAGAGCCCTGAGCAACATGATGATGAAAAAAGGGCCATGATTAGGTAGAACTCGTGGGAATCCCTGCTTTTCGGGCTCGATTCAAATGGCGACTATACATGGAAGCCTATTGCATCATATATATCTTAAAACAAGGAAGAAAGTATTGATACCTCCCAAGATTATCGCGTTGCATATAAACAATTGCATATAAACAATTTATGTTCAGGAGGTATTCAATCTAGAGGGTATAGAAGGAACTTCGCTTTCTTCTAAGGATTTTAACACGTTCGCTGCCGCTGACGCACCTCGTAGTTATCCTTTCCATAGAAACGAGCGTCATCGGCAGCGAACGTGTTAAAGGTGAATGGATGTTGCTCGAGTCCAATCAGATTGAAGCGAGGGATTCGTACGGGCTTAAAATTTTGCTCAGGCTTCCTTATGCTTAGCAGAGCCCTGACCCGAATAGTCGAAAAAGGGAGTCAGACCGAGGGTAACGCTACCCCTTCTATTGATATAGTTACATGATGCAGTATTTCGATCCCGTTTCCAAACCTAACATATGATGTCTTCGGTCGCTGGAGCTCCGAAGCATACTAGATAGGTCACAAACCCGGTCTCTGAGACATACAGCAGCTAGCTTCACCAATTTTGCCGTCGGCTCGGAATCAGCTGGTGTCATTAATTTCTGCCAGTTCTTCGTGGATTTACTGTTCATATTACTATGCCATTCCAAAAAAAAAGTGAGTGACGGGGAAGAGGAACTGACGGACACATCCATCTTTCCTTTATCGCCCTGTCAAGACGCCTGTAAGAGTCCTCATGTATTGTATACAGAATCAAAGAAGGCGAAGAGCTTCCCGACTATACGAATTTACCGTCATCGCGGCATGAAATTCCGAGCAATGAAAGGGAAGGGAAAGGGCTGCATCCACACAAGGAGCTGGGGGTAAGGGAAGGGTCAGTCTCTTTTAATGCAATAATTACCGTCGTACCAAGTACAAACAGTTCAGACTTGAAAAGGTACGTAGCAGAAAACGCGGGGATTATTCCAACAGTTCAACAAATATCGCTACTTCATGGGTTTTACAGTTACCCCAAACTGCAGTCGCTGCATCTCAAACGCTGAGATGTTCTCACCTGGCAAGGAAATGATAGCTTGCTCTCGAGGTTCCAAGGCTAGGTCAATAATCAGTTGATGTGTAATTCAGGTCACTCATACATTTTGATAAATGAAAGCCTGGAGATTAGAGTTCGCCATAAGTTGCAGAACGCTTCGGCGACATCCTGAAATTCAAGCTGAATCTGAACTCAAGACGGATGGACAACCACCTCCTTTGTCTATTTTTTTATTATCAGCGATTTGAACAGTACCACTTGTTCATAACCCAACCTAGGGGGTAGGGGGAAAGGCGAATAAATCGCTCAGCATGGGTGGGTGCATGGCAGCGTAAAAGATACAGCATCTGCAGCGTGGCTCACTCAGTCCATTAAGAGGCGAAAATTTATCTAAGGACTTTAGGGATGACCCTTGCATATGGAATATGTTTATGTAGGAACGTGACTGCATGAACAAGTTCAAGGCCAGACATGGAAAGAAACGCAAAAAAAGGGCGGTGGAACGTAATTGTCCGGAAACGATATACCACTGCCTGGAAGGGTTGGAGAACTAGAGAGCATAATGATAGGCGCCCTGAGGGGGAAGGAGCAGTCGACCCTGATGACGTCGCGCATGCCATGAAGAGAAACCGGGTTAACGAAGGAGCCCGTCCCTTCAAGGACGAATTCGATCGTCTCGTTACCTGTCACCGTGTCACCGTTCCACAACGGAATAATGTACACTTACCAAGAGAAAAAAATGATGAGGGCTTCTCCAACAACGATTCTTTTGTTAGAAAGATTTTCAGCGTGAGAAATGCCCAAGGCTATTCCCCCCTCTTCTTCCACATCCCAAGTCGCACTCTGCAACTTGGGATATGCGACAGAAAAAATGGGGGGAATTATTTTTTCACGGAGGAATGTCCGACTGGGATCACTGGCCCAACAAATGGCTCAAACTTCCACGAGAAATTAATGAATCTAAAGTTAAATTCACGTTTCTATCTTTACACGTAAACGCGAAAGAAAGTTGTCTAATTTATGAGAATGTTGAGAAATTTTGCAGCTGGCAGGCATTTTACGGTTAACCAAATAATTCGGCACAGTATAAACGAGTTGGTTCATAATGTACCTAAGAAGTGCCTGGCTGGGGTTACCAGCCGCGTACTTTTCCTCGCGGGACGAGGGAAAGAAAGTCGATTAGAAAAAGTAATAAAAAAAAAAGCAGCTTGGAAAAAAGAAAAGAAAAGATACCAGTGGAGAAAGGGGAGAAGAACGTGCTACCGACCACTATCACGTACTACAGACCCACCTCTTCGTCAAGTACCTTTTAAATTACGTCGGAGGAACGATAGAATGAAGAGCAGAAGACACAGACACGTGGATGCCGCCACTGACTCAATAAAGGACGACGAGCGGAGCGCCCATGGTCCACAGCTAACGAACATCCAGGGGCTGAACCAGCCCCGGCCACCCTCGCCTGTCTGGTCAGTGGATGACGTCAAGAGTGGGGGAGTGAGTGTTGGCGCCGCCCTTGTGTCCCTTCACGCCTTGCGTAATCCTTTATTCCCCCTACCCTCGCCCACATGGTGGACACCCGTGCCTAAAACTCGGTCCGATTGACCCCGATCACTCATCTATCGCTCCCAATGGGGAGAAAGACTGACAAGAAGGCGTCCTTGCCCCATTCAGATTCCAGAAATGGATGCCAGAGGATGCACCATGTGGATCCCATGCCAGCTGATTCTCTGCATTGCCTCAGGTCCCTTCTCTATCCTGCCATCGCTCTCTAGAATCCCCTAAGGGCTTTTCCTCTCATTTCTAAACTCGCTTCAACGTACTTTCTTTGGGAAAAAAGCGGATGACTTTCATGCAAAACTCTATCAAACAAAAACATGATTTTGAATTAATTTTAAAAAAAAGTGAAATAAAGGAAAACCTATGACAAAATATTATTCCTCACCAGTTGATTCAGAAGAAGTCTTGGTTTTGGTGGACGGAGCTTTTCTGAAGGCAGGAGACTTATCTCTACCTTCGTCGAGTTTCGAGGTCCTCCTGGCAGCCCGAAATTCGGATTTGGCAACACTGATCACACTCATCTCACCAACACTGCACGACCGACCACGCACGATCGATCCAGTTCGAGGGACACTGGTGGGGGGCTGAGGGGCGGGCCCCTTGAAGCTAGAGAAGCTGGCTCGCCGTTGCACTGGTGCAGGGGGGTGGGCACGTGGGGGTTTCTCGGGTGGAGGGGGACGGAATGCTGTCTCGGAATAGGATCTATGTGGTGGGGGCGGATGTGGATGCCGAATTGGCGGAGGTGGGGCATAGTTAGGATGGGGACGTGGAAGGGTGGAGGTGGAGGTCATGGGGTAATGGTAATGGGGCTTCTCTCCTCCCCTTCCTCGGTACCTCTCCAATTCCACGGGACTCAGGCATGAGTCTGACGGATCTACGATGAAAGAGTAAATAGCCATGATATAAGAAAAAAAAAGTAATACACTGTCCACCACGAGTCCTACTCTGCGTGAAAGCTGCTTCTTTTCGCGTGTGAGGTGTATCCGGCTGAATTTTTTGCGACATACGCCAAATTTTATTTTCGCCTGAAAGCGGGCCAGTAAAATATTTCCAGCTAATATTTTGGCAACCATTTTGATTGCGAAATAAGATAACATTTCTGCCCAGCGAAAACAAAACTACCATGATAACTATCACAAGTTGCATTTCGAGTGCGTGGCATTCAATAACTTAATTTATAATTAAATTTATGCCATCACTGTACCATCGTCAATAAATATGTAAATATATATATTTATACACATACATTTCTCATACTGCACTATTAATAATTAAGTAAAGTATCAACATAACTAATTTCTATCACTGTACACTTTGGGATCCCTGTATACAGGGAAGCTTTTTGGCTTGAGTTTGATTTTTCGCTGGAGCATACTCGAGTCGTCTTATCTGTTGATCTCTATCCCTGTTAAATTTCCGCCATTTCAAAAGAACCAGAAAAAGGGCATGGAGATGAAGGAATGACTCGAAAGATCTGCGTCGAGTGAGACTGCTCTGCTTACACAGTCGAAAAGTTTCAGAACAATCCTGTATTTTTGCATTTTTCTCCAAACACGGTGATTTCAGGCACATTACATGAAAATTTAAAGAAAGTTGGCATATCGCATACATTCATAAAAGGCAACCCATCGGAAACGTTCTGTCGTCCGTGTACATCTAGAAGCTTCTTAAGCACGTTGCATGAAAAAAAAATTAAAATGCATTCAACTGATCAATGATTCAGGCAAAATGGCTGAAGGTTTCAAGTTACCTATGCGCAGCTGAAATTTCAGGTACTTTCCCGACATTTTCGGCACCCTTCATCAGCTACCTGAGGAATTCAGGTTGAGTTCGTTCGCTACTTAAGCTGTCCATGAAGAGTCTGGGAGAATTCCCTGATTGAATCCTTTGCCAACGCAACATATATTGTTATTTTTCAGCCGCTGTCATGTATAATTTCCTTTCTTCCCATTGCTTTAGCGCTTTCTTGAATTGAAGGGATTTTAATGGTGCTAGCAAGTGAAGAAGTGACTAACTGGAGATAGTCCAGGATCGTCGGAGGGATTTCTTCACGAGTTCGGCGGGAGGGATGAAGACTTTCTCTCTCCTTCGACTCGGTCTCCTCACAAACTCCCTCATCCAATCCCCTGTCGCCAACTGGATCTCCCTGCAACGAGAACAAGAAGATGAAGAAATGGGTGAATCCTTTCAGTGTATTCATATGGGGGGATTGCCTCGTGGAGACAAACAGGGGAAGGGCATTTCAACATTGAATATTAAACAGATTCAAGCCCTCCCTTTGCCGGATCTCTGGGAGAGAATGACTTGCAGGTGAGAAAGAAAAAGAATTTCCCATGCAACAGATGCGAACTGCGTCGCCATGTGACTTCATTCAGGTGCATTGGACAGATGTCACATGAGCGAACACGTATGGTAGCTTTATCGCCCCAACAGTGTTCACCCTATATGACTCACATTGCCAACGTCCCCATCATATCGCGTTCCCGTACCACGTCTTTCGATTTGGCCTGGTGCCATTCTTTCTCCTTTTTCTTCCTCCTTGTTCCACTTTCCCCCCACCCCCAATACTGACGTTGAACTCAACCGGTTTCGACACATGGCAGCAGTGGAGAAACATCTTTCGTCCATTCTTCCTGGCGTTTTATTTGGTCCTTTCCAAATGACAAGGTCTGGATATTAAGGGACCGTCACGATCCAATTCCTTGAGGAATGATGCTCAGCACGGGGCTCTATTCCCTCATTCGAATTGGCCACTGACCCTTACTGACATTCCGCCTCGGGACTTGGCGACATCTGCGGAGAAATCCAAGAACTACGCAGTTACTGGAGGGCTGCCCAGGGCTCGCTCAGATCCAAATTCGAGCTGAGCCATAGATAGCTTAGGAAGAACTCCATGGACGCCATTATGACTCCTCCAGCCGAGGGGCCCATTGAAAAGCTATCCTACGTTATCAGCTGCATAAATCATAAGCGTAACGTGGATGGAAAAGTGGGGTGGGGAGGGGGGACGACACAGGAACTCTGGGACACTTATCATGCATTTCATGGTCTTTTCCATCTTGAAAATCTTGCCTTTTTTCTTGAAAAGTGTGGAGGCACGTGTCCTGCCTAGCCCTCCCGACGCTACGCCGCTGACATAATTCCTTCCCCCTCGTGATGCTGTTGTGCTTCGCTTCCTGAACCCATGGAAACTTTGCATTCGCTCAAGTGACTTTAAACTGCGCCTACATCGTATTCTTCACGCTTAGTATGGCCATGATTTTGAAAGGAAAGAATGGTTACAGCTGAACTAAAGATAGACCTATTAAGACGTGCATTATTCCTGCGTCATTCTTGCATTATTGTAGATCCGACCTCTCAAGTAGCTCATACACACCTTAGCCATGCAAAAGATCGTTTATCCTTTGTCATAACCCACCGATACATACTGAGATTTAACACTTTGCGTACCGCTCAAGGAGATCTCCGTTTTTTAGTCCTTTCACGAGTCCTTTTGCCTAGCCCAGGGGTGTCAAACAGGCGGCCCGAGATTAGGTACAGTCGAACTCGGTTATAACGAAACCTCGGTTATAACGAAGTCCATTGAAGGTCCCACTGAAGAAATCGACAACGTTCATGTCCCTAATCCGTCATTCTTAACTGAAATTTCCGTAATCGGAAAAAATTAGCGTTGGCGAGACCATAACTTAATATTTCCTGGATTCGGCATTCCTTGAGAGTTATGTGAGTGTGGCTGGAGCAATGTTAGGGAGGGATAATCCCCAGTAACTAAGATCACCTTGTCTTCATTCGCCATTTGCATTTCTCGTTGACAACATGGCCAATGGAAAACGAAAGAGGCAAGCCTTCACGATTGAAAGGAAAGTGTGCTTGGTTAGTTTAATAGAAAGAGCTCGAAGTAAAGCTAACGTCGCGCGCGAACATGGACATCTGTTCATCTGTTTTCACAATTTGGGAAAATCGTGACAGCTTCATCCGTGCTTACGAGAACATGTCACAAAACAAGGAACTTCCTAGATCTGTCGAGATGACATCGACGAAGCCTTGCTAAAGTACAAAGTAGTTCAAGGTCCAAAGAAGTACGAACATCACGATTAGTGGGTCAATCTTGAAACTAAAGCTAGTGCAGTATGACCAATGTAAACTGGAGTTGTAACGTTAATATATAGCATCAATTTTGAAAACAGGAAAACGGAATGCCAATAAAGACAAACTCGGTTATAACGAACCTCGGTTATAACGACGGTTTTTACCTGGTCCCTTCGATGACGTTATAACCGAGTTCGACTGTATTATGTTTTCATTGTGGCCCCTAATCAACCCTGAAGGGTTCTATCCGGCCCCCAGCCAAATTGAGTTTGACACCCCTGGCCTAGTCTATGGCCGAAAAAGTCATAGCCTTGTAAGCATCGAGCTCTAGGCTAAGGTAACAGGGGCTTAGGTCAGAGCGGCGGATCGACGGGGTAAAATGTCCGGTACGCAATGTGTTAAGAGGAAGCTTACAAGCGTAATAATATATATTTCAGTTTTTCAGCTAATGCGTCCCCGAGACTCTGAACTATCAGAAAAACAAATAAGTTAGATGGAGAAAAAAAAAAGGAAATAAATGGGAGAATGTCAACAGCATGGTATTTATTACAGATGCTTCTTCATCTTTTTTTTTTCCTCTTAGCAAAGCCCTGCATATCTACTGTACAATTTTGCTGTCCAAATTAACATACATGTCTCCTTTCGCTTCTTTTTGGCTAAAATGCACAACCAATGACCGCCAAATCTGTTCTCGTTGCGATTCCGTGGCATTGGGATGGTGAACTCGGCTCTTCCTTGAAACAGTAAATGGGGGACATCAATTTGCATTATTTTCAAATGAAGAATTGTCTCCTCAGAATGCCCGAGTGTCTTCTCGACTTCCGATTACAGAAAGATATTTTTTTTAAAAAGAAAGAAGAGAATCCTTTCCTGTTTGTCTTTCCATTTGAGGAAGTCATTATCATTACTCACATCACATACCCATTAGATAACACATTTAAAACTAATCTAGTCCACTCTGTTGTCGGACTACGTCCGACATTGGTATTTTCAGTTCCACTCTGATGTTAGTTAACATTAATACCCATTATTATTAAAGTTAGTTAGTCAATAGTTAGAACAGAAGCTAATATACAGGCTATAGCCTGTTCGGCTTTCTATCACATTTTTAAACGAAATAAAACAAGATATGAGACAGCAGAAACCACAGAAGTTACAATCGCCCTCATCTAGCAGCAGACAAATCCGGGAGTATGAAAATGGTGTTTATGAATCACATGACTCAAGCTCACCAATCCTACGTGACGAAGACTCAGATGGAGTTGTCCCAATCCTATCTACCCACGGCTCTGAGTCCAAGCAGAGCTGCGTAGTCAGGAAAACTCGTGGAAACTGGACATAAAAAAGGGAGTCGACCACATTTCCTCCTTTGAAATTATCAGGGTATCGGAACCCAGTTTTATTTTAACTTTCCAAGTCCAGTCGAGACTTAACACCTTCCAGAGCATCAAGAAGGAACAGTCACCATTCAACTTAGACCTAACCCATGTCGGTGACCTAGCGATTTTGTGACCCAATTCGACATGGCGCTGCGTTGGAGCAGCCAAGGCAATAAAAAACCAAGGTATGGACATGACCCTTCAATGGACATGGGCTATCTGTCCCTGGAGCCACGCCTTACAGTTGTTTGGAAGGACGAGCTCCCATCAGATGGCAATGGCGGCAACATAAGGCCTTCATAAGGCCTCGTTCCCCGTTTAGGTGGTCCTACCTTGTATTAATAATACACTACGTTCAAGACGAGAACACTCATGCTCGGAAATAGCAGTCATGACGAGTAGCCTACACTCGTTCATATCTCATGACTCTCCACGTAAACGTCAGCAATCCTACCTATTCATTCTCCATTGTTCTGCATTACGATTCCATTCATCGCTATCCGTTATTGTCATCTTGCCTTGATTGGGCGATACCAGTCTATCCATCCAAGAAAGCAAAAAATGTAAATCCTTTCTTAAATTCACGATTTTATGGTTTCCAATTATTCGCTGCAGCTGTGCGTAAGGTAGCGAACCCTCATTCAATCTTTATGAATTTACGTTATAGCCCGGCACCAAAAATAATGTGAAAATTCGGCCTGTTATCGACATTGATTTCATTCAAGACGATAATCGATGTCTTTACACCAGTATTAAATTATTGCCGCCACGATGAAACGAGTGATGACAATTTCTAGGATTCCTAAATTCAAGGGACTTTATTGAGAAAACGCTGCTGGGAAATAAGTGTCTTTTTCATTCATTTGACCCATGGGGAAAATATATTAATTACAAGTTTCACTCGAATTTTAAAGAAATGTTGAATGGCCTCTTTGACCCTGATGGAAGTGAAGGAGGACTTTTTTTTCTAAATTATCTATAAAAAAAATTGGAGTTTTGCGTCGAAGAGGGGTAATTGTGCAGCCCTCAAGGAACCTTGAAAGCAATAGAGTAACGTAAATGATTCACAGAAAACAAGACCTTTCACGGAGACCCAAGGTTAGGGTGATCATCAGCTGAGCAGTGGAACCTCATTGAAACTGATCGAATGTCATCTTAAGTTTCTGCAGAGTTCGTGAATGGTCGCTCTGAAATTATATGAAGGATTTCTTGCAATTTTGTTCTCCTCAACCCATATGAAGGCCGACCTGACCTTGGGTCATCCTCCATCACCTGCCTTTCTCGAACGTTGGTGCCGCCTGGCCACCGTCATCCAGTAATCTGAAGCATCTGCTTCAGAAGGCTTCATACAGCATACTACAAGTTTCTTTGGCGCATTTCCGCAATTTCACAAAAAATGGGCTCTGAATTTCCATTTCGGCCGTTATCAGATTCCTCACTCATTTGTGCGAACTGGGTCAAGAGGACCATTTAAAAAATTAAAAAAACCTCTTACAAAGGTTCAGATGAAAACCACTAGGAAAGTTTACCCATGCACTCCAAGATCCAACACAAGATACTTGCGAGAAGAGACACCTGTACATAAAATAATAAAGAATAAAGAAGTTACAGAACCAGTCTGGGAGCTTTTTCATCACTCCTTGTAGATGCAGGGTTGTCATTGTCGCTCAAAAAGCAACTCTTCATTTTCCAAAACACATGCCTATGTTTTTACATTGACTTAAATCGAAATTCACTTTACCTTGAAATTCAAGCGATTACTTGAGTCTACCTTCTGGGTTAATTACATGCTTATAAAAATAATGATCAGAATGCAGATCAAATGAGAAGGAGAAAGATAGTATTCAAATCTGCCATCTTTATCATCCGCACGAGCGGTTTCCACTTCCCCCACTCATCTCTGGATTACTCGGGCTGCCTTTCACTCCCCTAAATTATGGGCAGGAGTGGTCGAACCTTTCTTTTTGCATTTTGCTGCGTCAAGACTCAAGACATTAAAGCAATACGAGCTTACTCGACAGGATCTGCCCCTTTATCCTGTCTCGTTCACCGTCTTTCACTTGCTCTAATAAGCTTCACGCAGTGCGAAGACCTAAAAGGCATCTAATTTTTTATTATTATCTAAATGAGCGAAGAAGCCTCCGAATAATGTCACCAATAAATTATTATGGCTGAATCGCTTGAAGAATAAGAAAATTTTCAAAAACAACTCAATATCACTTGAGATTTGCGGTAAAACAAGAGAAATTAGGTGTCTCTTCCTGTCTGAAGTAAACTTCCTGGTAAGGGCTTCATTGAACATCATGGTAAAGTTTAACAAGGCAGTGAAATGGCTGGTGGTGTAATCGCTGAAAAATTATATTATTTCGATAAACCCGCGGACTTAATGAAATCTCAATGTCGCATGAATTTCAATATGGACTAGGGATTCTAATCTCCCAGACTCGGTTCGATTTGTCCAAGGCGGGCAAATCTCCTTCCGTTTGCGGACGGCTTGCTGAAGGGCGAAGAGTGCCGCGCCTGCTACTGCCTTCCTCTACTGAAGAAAGAGACATGTGGAAGGCTGCGGTAGCGAAAGGGAGACGTCACTGAAGGTCTCAGTGGGGACCTAGCAATTTAGATGTTTTGAGGGACTCCCGCTGGCATCACCAGAAGCTTGCAGAGTCCCGTCCGCGGAACACGAGAACAGGATGTTGTTCAGAATACAGGGATGGATGTTAAAATTTGTAAGCTTTCCGGCCACTTTCGTTCGCGATCTTCTTCCCGTTCCTGCCCTCATTTCGCAAACTTTCAATCGACAACCGTTTTGCTGGTCGTCATCTGCGCCGGCCGAACAAGCCGCCGAGATGCCTGATGGTGTCACGATTTTGAATGCTTCATGGGCAAAAAGCTAGGCAAGTGGGTATGGAGGATCCATCTGCAAGTATCATACAAGAAGTTGTCATAGGGAAACCCGTGCCAACTTCTCAAATTGGAATTCCAACTTTTCATTGGTGATTGACTCTCACTTGCCAGCGCTTAGAATTATTGACTGCTTTATTATAACAATGCCTAGATTAAAATTAAAATAATAATTTCATTTCCACCGGGAGTCTCGATGATTCTGTTCTCCCTAGGAGCAAACAAAATGATGGAAGTAGAGGCAGCTAAACCAGGTGATTTGGAATCTCCCTAATGAGAAGCGATACGATGGGAGGATTTCAAGATGATTCCTCTAAACCTTTATGGAAATTCTGAATCCCACTAGGGAGATTCTGAATCCCTATGAATTCCAAAAAAAAACCCTCGACATATACATACACCTTTTCGCTGTTGACAAATACACGGAGTGAAAGAATTTCTGACGTAGTCATACCTCGTCCTCTCATTCTCAAATTTAGAGAATTGTTGAAACGAAAATTCCCTTTATTTGAGAACTCCATATCATCTGTCTGCGTCCCCTGCGCCAGAGGGTTCAAGAAGCGTCTCTAAGCGTGAAACGGGCTCGTCCCCACCGGCGACTGATATTTGCCACATTTCACACAGCAAAAAAAAAATGGAAAGTACTCAAGGCAAGGCGGACACTTTCAGAAAAGCATCAGAAAAGTTCTCCTTTCTTTACGAAACCAGTTAGTAGCTTTTCAGAAACATGATCTGGAAATTCTTACAGGAAACTAAGGGCTACGGGATAAGACTTCAGTAGGAAACTCCTTTGTTTTTACGGTTGCCTGGTAAGCAACTCCTTGGGACGTGATGAGGAAAGGGTAATAAAAGGGATAAGGAAAAGAAACTGACATTTGTTTGTGGCAGACGATGCAGACCCAGTTGGTGGCAGCGAGGTTGTATTGTCTGCAACTTTTGCAGACGCGGAGTCGGCAGGAGGGGCAAGGGGCCCCCCGATTCAGGATCAGACCCAATTCCGCCCGGCATCTCGCGCATCCCCTTCCCCCCGATGACCCTGATGACTCCTGATCACCTGATGACACCCTCAGAGCGCCCCGCCGACGCAACCACTGCAGCTCCGCCTTCAGCTTGCTGCTCGTGCAAGACCGAGAACGGCAATTAGAACATCCTTCTTGTTAAAACCAAGAAGACACAGCGAAAAAAAAATTACGAATATACGTGAGGAACAATAGGAATACTTCCTTTGAAATTGCCCTGGGTATGGATAAAAAAAAACAAGCGCCGCTGTTTGAATCGTTATATCAGTATAAAGGTAGTTGCCACAGTTGCGTATGCTCGAGGATATATGCACCTACGTCATATATACCAAATAAAACATTTCCAGGAATATTCATCATCTGGTTTAATCACAGAAGCACTTTGAAGATTGTAAGTAAAATATTTGGAAGTCTCTATCCGTTGTTGTCTTCTCGCCAGGGAAAACATTAAGCTTAATCGCTTTTGCGTCAATTAGTCCATCGTATCATTTGCGATTATTGCGTTGTCTAAGATAGACAAAACGGGATGGAAGCGTGTTTTCTGGACACAAATGTGCAATGACTTCATTCAACGAGTGATCCTTCATTGGTATCCTATTGGCGGCATTTCAGAGACTCTCCTTTTACTCGCGGGAATTTCCAAAGATTTTACTCAAGAACTTCAAAGTGCGCTTGTGACTAAAACAGCATGGAGAAAATTCTTAAAAAATGTACATTAGAGACAAGATGTGGATGCATATCTAATGAATGTACGCAGTCGTAGCTTTGATAAGATTTCCAGATATGTACATTTGAATAATGCCACGCTTATTTCTCCACGCCCGGTATACCTACATGAGGAACTATTGGAATATTGTGAATGGCTTTCAAAGCCTGTATTTCGAAAAAAAAAAAAATTACAGTAACCAAAACGTGCTCGCATCCGGTTTCACCCGGTTTCGTGGTTGAGAAAAGGGGGGTGGGGGGAAGAACATGAATGAGAATGGATGGGGGCGTGGTCCGGATATATGTGGCGTCACCTGGCCGTGAATAACGACGCCTCGTGACGATACCACGCCTTTCCAGCATAGTCAGAGATAAAATGAAAAGAAATAAAATCCAGGACTGCAATAAGGCAGTAGAAAAGAAAAAAAAGGACAATGGCCAGTCCAGTAAGGAGCCACCCATGAGCAAACAGTCCCGCCATAAACTGATTTCAAAACAACAGTTCAGTTCCAGATATATTAATAGTTAGTTCATTTACAGTTACAGTTGGGATTTCGTTGTAAGAGTAGTCGATATGAACACTGGAACTGCAATCAGATCATAGTTTTTAGACGGATAGTTAATGCAGGATATAGAGACTGGTTTAACTGGAGTTCCACTGTGTTTGTAAAGACAAATGGACTATTCTCAAAAAGAAATCCCGACTGTAACCACAATTGAACTGCCGTTTTAAAATCGGTCATAACCTGGCAGTTTTCAAAACGTGACTTAGACTGCCATTAAAATATTGATGGTCTTATGCCATTTTCGGGTAGGGGACATTTGCTCCTGCTAATGCATTTATTAATGAACAAAGTATCGGAACACAGAATAGCTGTCAAGTTTATAACATTTTGCATTTGTATTCTGGTAAATACTAAGAGAAGTTTGAAGCAGTAAAACTCCTGGAAACGTTGAAAAAATATTTAAAATGACAGGCACGTGCACAGACATTCGGGAAATTGCATTTGGAGCTTTACTTTTTCAAAGGCTAGCTGAAAAAAAGCAAAGGTTTTGGAATAAAATATCTTAGTTGTCCCACGAATTGAGGGGATTGCATCCCGTCAAAGAGAGAAGGCGAGGAGACACTCGCGAAGCGGACGTCCCTTCCGCCAGTTACTCATGCCACTTGATCCTCCTCGGCAAACGTAGCTTTTCTTTTTGTAGCATTTCCACAGAGCCTTGATTAGCCTGGTAACAGTACATTCCAACCAGTATGCCCTTCTCGCTTCTGCTTAGACCAGTGGTGTTAACCATGCACTCATGAGCCCTTTCTCTGGCACCTGCAGTGCGCCTATAAATAGGAAACTCTAGCTGCAGCATTGATTCGCTTCACGTCACATTACCGGTGGAGTCTTTGGCATTTTCGAGGTTCTTTGACGTTGTCAGGCATATGACAATCTATTCTCCTAAGAGGAAAACCCCAAACAGGAATAAATGGAGGAAATGCTCAAAATTCTTCTTCGGATCTAGTCACACATTCAAGAAACGCTCGTTGCATTGCCCCATGGCAACAGGTGCACTCTAGTCTTTCTCCCACAGCAGGATACTTTTTTTTCTCTCTCCTTCTCTCTTAACGAATTATGACATAGGGAACGGATGAAGCCATGATTCCGGTTTGGGGACAGAAGAAGATCTTGTTAGTTTCGCTTCAATGCATTTTTCTTGGCTTCTCCTTTCTTCCTCACCCTTAAGCAATCCCCTCTTCCGAAGTAAACTCCACCCAGATGGAAGTGAAGGAATGAGCTTTTGCAATAGGATGGGAAGGAGTGAAAAAATAAGGAGGTCAATTAATGCTAATGGGGTCTCACAGGAAGGATTTGTCTTTGGAATAAAGGAACTTAGTGTGTCTAATCTTATGGAAACATGGCCCACTTTCTCCATCTTGGAGATCCAATTGTCTCCCTGATAAATCCTTAATATCCTCCTGGTTCCACTTCCTTCCAAGGAAATTTTCACAAGGCATTCTCAAATATTCATTGATTCAGCAGCTCGTTGGATTGCTGGCATATATTTTGAACATGTAAACTGAAATTGCATAGTAACCGTATTAAAATGCGATTGCTTCCATAGCTTCATCTGCCTAACGCGCACACTATAGCTGCCCGTGCCAAATGTATTGCCAAATTTATACTATCTTTATGCTTTCCCAGCAAATATTCGTAGATTTTTACGATCCAACGTCAAGATTAATAACTTTAACCACATGAATACTTGTAGGAGCATAAAAAACCCCCTACCTTTTTTCCCTTTCAACTGTTTCCAGGGAATAACTTGATCTATATAAATTCCACAGTCCCTTAATCAAACTTACTGAGAGCAAGTTATCCGGAAATTTCGATTTGCGATTAACCTACTTCACTAGATAAAGGGGTGCAATGATCTCAAAATACAGAAACTGGGATAATTAACCAATAAGGAGACATCTACTCAAACATCTCGAAGCAGGGAAAGGGGATATTACCTGTCTTGCAAATAAGGAGAAGATAAAAGTTCGGAGCAGTATTAAAGATGCCATCATATCCATGAAGAGCTCTCTTTTTGCTTCCCAAGGAGATCAATCCAATCTCTCTATCTTGTGGAATTGAAGCAGTACAAGCTGCACAAGTAACCTCTATTATGCCCAGGAAAAAAATATAACCCAAGAAACCGGAATTCGTAGTTAAATGCGGGTATCTAATTTCCAACCAGGTAACTTTTGACATTCATCTTCTCTCTCCTCCACCCTGTTTTATTTATTTATATTTTTCTTCCTCGAGGAAGACTGACGTTGATGGGTACATAAGACCCCGAAACGACAAGGGAAGGGATCCACCCCGTCAATAACAATAATAATGATTACCGCCCTTGAAGTAGGGCAAGTGGGCGTAATAGGCATGAAGGAACCTTGAAAAGCCCTCAAAGGCCATCCTTGCATTTGAGTGGGTGGCTTTCATTTATCCCCTTCACGTCGGAAGTATGGGGTTATATGGCATTGGCATGAGAGATTGGGAACGAGTGTTCCCGAGGGGAGATTTCTGGGTCAATTCTTCAATCCTACACGCATGATCATCGCCAAGTCAGCCACCCTTTCTATTTATTTTATACACTCCCGATATGACCTTTCGGGGCCCGCTGCCTCTAACGTTCCAAGTTTCATTCATGTAATTTGAGAAACACTCTAGAAAAATTATAAAGTAAAAAAGCGCTCCTGACACTTCTTATAAAAGATTAGGTTTTTGATTAAGCTATTAAGTTGAAAAATATTACAAAACTAGGGAAACCACACATTTTTTAAACGTCACCGCAGAACACGAAGTTAGAAATTGATCATTTTTGGTTGCATGTGGCAAAAGAATATACGAAAGAGGGCATAACGCCCAAGTAAGGGTATCACAGAACTTGAAGGAATGGAGGGGGAGAACCATGGATGGATTTGACATATGAAGGCCACTGGGGCAGTGACTGGAGAAGACAAGAAAGAAGCAATTGTCCTCTTCATCTCTTTCCCCTCTCCCCAATAATTCCCTTCAGCGGCTACGCAATAATGAATCTGACCTCCTTCGTACCGTTAAAGGGCGCAGACCAGCTAGTCGTTCGATCATCAAAACAATGACCTAGTCGCCACGAGATCCTATTTCAAGGCTTCTGAGACGAGTTTCAGCTAACATATCGCATTTTCTGCCTCTGCTACGATGGGAACCGGCCGATTGGTGACCACATGCCACTTTGATGTACGGAAGGAAGTGGGATCCAAAAAAGGCAAGAAATCCCTGGACGATGTCCTTGGGATAAGGCCCTCCACTCCAGGCATTAATTTAAGTCCCTGATGTAATTAAAACAGGGTCTCTCTCCACATCATCATGAATAATTGATGAGACGTCTCCGGTCGAAAGGGCTTGTTTGTCCACTCTCCCTTTTTGTTCTTCCATGAAGAAACTTCAAGGTTAAAGGTCCGGGAACCCGTTTGAATCCGTGTTTATAGGACTTTAACCTCTAAAGTCGAGAGCTGCAAGAAGCATAACGTCAGGTAAAACAAAAAGCAAATAAGTAAGTTATACAAAAGAAACAGTTCGTGATTAACTTACACATGTAGACTCACAGCACGTGAATAGTCTCAAAGTTCCCAAAATAGAATACAAATTTAATGCAAAACTTTGTTTTTATTTGTGAATGTAATTATGCATTCTAGGGAGAAATATATATATTTTAAATACTTATTAATAGCTACTAATTAATAAAGATAAAACTAAATGTACCGAGCCAAGACCTTCGGATTCAATGAACTGAGTTTTCCAGAGCCATCTCGCGAGAATATTTGTCAACTTCCTTGGGTGAAATACCAGATCCCCTAGGACAGCTTTCCTTTTTTCTTCGGAAAGGCAGAAGAATGCATAGCAAATAAACAGTCGTAATGTCAAGTCACGTCTCCTCCCAGTGGCATCTCCCATCTTCCTCCCTGGAGCGACAACATTGTGATCACATAACTTTCACTCCATAGACATGACGCTCACGTTCTAGGATGAATCAGTATCCTTGAAGGTCCTTCACGAGGTCTTTTCTCGAGACTTCAACGCCCGGATCATTCGCATGCGACTTATAAAATAAACGCCCTCGTGTCCTTGGGAGCCGCCAATATCTGCCTTCCCTTAATTTGCCCCCGGATCCAACGCCTACTATGGAATTAGCCCTATCCAGGCCCGGGTCTAGTCAAGGCCTCGAGGACAGAATATTATAAATGTGACGTGCAATGGGGTATCGTTGTCAAGGAAGACGAACCAACCATGAGAGAGGGGGGAAACAGCTTTTCTTGCCCAAGGGGGGCAAGATAGATAGCTGGATGAGGAATTGGCTATGATCCAGCCAAGCAAACGGGAGGCATCTCACGTTTTAGCCCAGGCCTTCAAAGATGAGATGTGTCTGTATGTGTACTCTCGATTGAGTCATTATTGAGTCAGAAGGGTCAAAAGGGTCGAGTCACTCTGCTATGCATCGTCGACGCAGAGAAAGATGAGATTCGCCTTTGTTCATCGAAACTCGCATCACGCCTGGGGGCCTTATATAGGCTCTGTCTAACGGATCTGCACTGTTTCTGAATGCGGAAGACAAATAAATCAACGAGTGAGAGGGATAATTCATCCGGGGAGATGAAAGATATTTGGTCATTTTGTAACGGGTGGCCTGATTCTCAGAGATTCGTCAACCGAATCTGGGCCTTCGCGATAGATTCTAACGTCATCCTCGACTTTTCAGACCCCAAGACCAAGTTTAGCATTAACGTGCTAGCCAAGAATTCCAGAATCTTTCTATGAGTTAGGTAGAACTAACCTCATGAGAAAAGCGAGTCCTGAAGCCACACAGCGTTGAGGAGGGGGAGGGGGGAAACCGAGAAGCCCCACGAACACAAATAAGCCCCTTAGCGGAGGGAAGCCCAGCCCACGAGGAAGACTGAACGCTGACTGCGCGTGGAGACGCCTTCTTGTGATTCTACGGGACTCTCAACAGGGTTGCCGAATGCCTCTCATGGCTCGTGACATGAGCCGCGGTATGGCGGACCACTGCTATCAAGGAAGTCCGACGGCACCGCGGTCCTCAATCGATGACCGCGTGCTGTGGTATCACTGAGGGACCACGTGCAGACAATGGGTCGCTCTGTTCATGCAGCTTAAAAAAAAAAGCTTCCCCTCGGGGGTCCTAGAATTCCTTGGACCTCTCATCTCCCGAATTACAAGGCAGACACACTCACGACTCGCTCCATGCAGACGTGACTATGGATTCACGATGGCCGTGTGCAAAGAAATGGACTCGAAAGTTCTGAAGGAGACCCAATTACAAGGCAAGAAATTCTTTGCAATACTATGCTAGAAATTGAAAGGCGTGATAATCTAAAAAGTGCATTGTAGAATTTTTAAATTATAAAAAGGAAATGTACAGTAAAAGCAACGAGAAAAACAGGTAGCGAATTAAGCAGTGATTTTCTTAGGGTCGTGGAATAAGCCTTCATACTGAAGTTCGTGAGAGATTAAATGAAAAATTGCAAGGATATCATTTTACGTGACTGCATCAATTTCTTCATTATAGCACTTCCGGGTTGAGTTGAGATCTTTCCCATCCTCAACACAGCACGAGCATCACGCCCGAGACGATACGGGACACGACCAGGCGTGAGAGTGAGATTCGTGATAGCCGGAATCTTGCACGACATCCCAGCACGATGCCCCGCCACACTGTGGGGAAGAAGGGATTTTTTTTTATGGAGGAATAAGCATTGACCGAGGTGGTCATGGTGGATGGTGTGGCTCCACCCCACGGGGGGACCACCAGGGGGCACCTAAGTAAGAATACCCTCCCCCTACCTTTATATAATGCACTGGCATGCGCGACCGTGTTGCAAGACTCCCCTTTGCATGCATTCCTCTTTGCAGGACTGACCTCGTCCTGTTTGGACAAGACAAAAGTGGTCGAACTCTGGCGTCGCGCATGGCTTCGCCGAAAAGACCCAATTTTTTCGACGGGCAGGTTCGAAGGAAAATTTTCACGCATGGAAGGAGTACGTGGGAGAGTTTGTGTGTTCAAATGAGGCTAAAAAAAAAAAAAAAGGTGGTGGGGTCTGGGGAGAAGGGGAGGGATGGACATTACCGGATTCGGAGTTGGTGCATGCGTTGGAGGGCGTCATCCTTCTGCAATACCCGCCAGATGGCCCTCCGTTCTCCCTCCGTCAGATTCCCCACGTCCACATTTGCTTCCCCATCCGATCCTGAATCCAGTCCCTGCAACAATTAACTCACTCATTCTCCAGGTAGAAGGTCACCTCGCGGTAGTATTAATGATGAGACTCATCGCAACGGAGGAAAGGAGGGGAGAGAGGAAGGATGACTTAGATCAAGGGTGTCAAACTCGATTAAGCTGGGGGCCGTAATGGAACCTTTCAGAGTTGGTTGGGGGCCACACTAACAAATACACCAAATTTTTAATTAGAACGGGCTGAAATGTTAGCGCTTTTCCAAAACCAAACGGGGAAGGGACTTCGCCAGTTTGACACCCCTGACTTAAAAAAAAAATACTTGAAAATACAGTCGGCTTCGCGAAACAACGCTTTCTTGCAAGTAAAATCAATTCCGCAGCGGAAGTGGTGAGTAGGTGCACGAAGAGAATGTCCATAAAATGAAAGAGGTTTTCGCTCTCCAGAACTCTCCCTTCGTACCCAAATCGAAGTATTTCTGGATCCAACTCCATTGAGAGCGATTAGGCCTGACGACAACCCTGCCCATATGTGCCAACATGCCATTAAATCCACTCGAATTCGTAATCAATGCAGTTTTTTCAGTTTATCAATTATCAAAATTGGCAATAGACTCAATAGACACACACATACAGAGGTGATAGAAATGGTTGAAAGTGGTAGCTTTATTTTTTTTTTCAATAAGCCCTATAAAACGTCAGACGTAAGTCTACAGGAATGTAGGAACACCCATTTTTTTATGTTTCTTCTTAGCTAGCGCTGCAAGAGCAATAAAATTATTTCAGCCTTGGGTGGATATCAGAGTGACGCAGATGCTGAATCACCTTGATTTTTCTTCCGTGTCTAATTTCGTGATCCCCACGTGAGCTCTTCCGCATGATATGGCTCATAACAGAACGAGTCGGAGAGTGTCACCGTTGCAAATTTTTTTCAGTTCGATATCGCTTCAAATTATTTGCCCACAATCGTTTCACCGTGTTCTTCCTCATAGGCGTTTCCTTTTTTTTTTTTTTTTTTTTCAAGACTTAAGAAAACCACCGATTACGAATTGATAAAGTGGGACGGTTTCGGCTTATGATCCTTCGAAATGTAATGTTTCTGAGAAATTTCCGCGTTGAAGACGAGGCACGAGACAATCGCCTAGAAATGACGTTCTTATGCCGTAATGGTTTTCCACCTTATCGACCCCAGATCAACGAATAGAGAGTTGAACAATATCTTCAATCTTGACTCCATATATATCTTGAATACATTAAAATCCTTACATTTCACAGCACTTCGATAGTCACAAGATATTTCACTTTTTTTTAATATATAGAAGAAAATTAAATGAATAACGCAGCCCAACGCACTCCACGATACCCAAAAATGCAAATGTATGGAAATCCGCAATGAAAGCCGACACCCATGCTAATAATGCGGAATAATAGAACTATCGAAAATCTCCCACATTACGGTGAGCATTACGGAAATGAAAGCCATTAAGGGAGGAAGAGGCAAAGACACGGGAGTAATTTGCTCCGTAGGGGGTCCAAAGCAGAAGACAGAGAATGAGGAAGAGAATCGTTTCATTCATTTTTTTAAAGGGGACAGGCGATTTTTTTTCTTTTTGCTTCTTGTCTTGATGGCCGCGGCCAACGACACTAGAATGACTTGGCACCAGACCACATTATTTTTCTATAGAGCCCTCCTCTTCCCCCCATTTTTCTTGCATACACTGTATGCCCTTCAAAATTAAAACACCCTCTGGCCAGGGAGAAGAACAATAGGCGGGCCGTGATGCTGCTTTTTCCCCCGGGATAATGAGCGGAAAAAGGCAACACACCTGAAGGTCTCTGGGAAAGGCCTGCAGACTTTCTCCATGAAAAAACCACAAATTTCGGTCATTACGTCGACGAACACTCCTCCCCTCCATAAACCCCTCATAAAACCAGAGACACGTCTAGCACGAGAAATTTAAAATTCCTAAATTTTATAGTCCAATAAATTTTCTCCTTGCCGATTCGGAGAACGAAGGCCGGACGGAATTCACAATCGAATGGGTGAAAGGTAAGAGAACACGATTCCATTTATTCTGTGTGCCATATATTTGGGCTTATTCGAAACTCGTGATGATACCATGAGGACGAGCTTTTCATTTCCTCGAAATTTATGGGCTGGAATGAAGAGCGTGAGAAAGCCTGCCTCCATTTCATATCGGAGTTAAGTGTGTGTGGTCATTAACCCACTTCTTCCTGGGATAAAAGAAAAAAGTACTTTGATCGATGTGCAACGTCATCCCAAACAATGGAACTATTATATGAATGTCGAAGAAAAAAGTATTAATTTCTTCCCAAAAAACGGTGAAGCGGAACCAAGTCGGCAAGTCTTCCTTAAAGTATGATGCGTTTTCATTTTGAAATTTGATTAAAGGATCGATGACCTTTGACCCCTGAGACCCACTTCCGGGGGCATGCGACGCGTGCCACGAATAATAAAAGGTCAGAATGAAAGTGAGAGATGATCCAGCCTGAATAGTTTGATATCTCCGTCACGCGAAGGCGTGAATTGCAGGTGAAGCCTCATGACATTCCCCGACTCAGCACGAAACGGTCTGTCATCTGCTCGCCGAGCCCTCGCGGGTTGGGGTATTACTACAATGAGACCAATCTCGTCTTAGACGACACAGATGGTGTCCGCGTGGTCATTTCGACCTGGAATGGCAGACGGTCGCTCTTATTCACTTTTTATGCTCCATCGAGCTTCTTTCTCATAACCCAGAAGAGAATCGGACAGGAAAAAAAGTTTTTGACTCGATGAGAGCACTACTGAGCCGCGGGCAAATTCTCTCCGTGCAGCTCGAAACCGGAACTTTCGTGAAGGGATGATATTGAACGTTTTTTGCTTTCTCATCGGAAGAAAAACGAAGAGAAGGGTCGTGAAGGATTTGGCGGTGCGTGGAGATCCATACCGCAAGAAGCCGTTTATATGGACCACAGAGCAGGAACGATGGGACCCATACATTTTCCCACGCAGGGGCAGGGAAGAAGTTCGCTCATCTTCGGCTTTTATCCTACCCGATATCCTTTGCCTCTACTATAATTTGCCCAGGTTACGGCCAGGTCCATCTCCTTAACGAGGCTGCAGAGCAATTAGCTCGATGATGAAGGATAAAAACAAAAAGAAAGAGACTCGAGGATGACTTTATAGCCGAACCGGAACAGGTCTTAGTCGAAATAATTGCTCGGGAAGATTACGGAGCATTTTTCAGCAAGGGGAAAGAACGATGTCGGATCCATGCAGCATCCGTTTCGAGAAAACTTCCAAGTGGCTGATGGGTTCCTATCGGCAGACGGGAGTATCGAGGATCGGTCGGTTTAGCTTTCGAGCACCCCTCACTCCGCCTGTCAGTTCTTCAGTACGAAATTGCGAACAACCTCGTCTTAACTGCATGATTCTTTCATTTTTTTTGGTACCTAGTTTAATGAGGAGACAGTTAGTAATCGGTCTATCGCTCGAGCAGTGCCATCGCAGTACATTTCAATGGCACGTTTAACGGAATGCAGGAGCGAAAAACGAAAAGGGGAGAATACGCCTCTGCAGGTCAAGTTCGCCGCGTGGAAGTCGTGCAGAAAGGAAAAGTACAAATGGATTTGTTTCTCCTCCTCTCGATGTCCGACACGGACGCAACACTGCATAATCCGTCGAGCGTGGCAGCAGTGCGAGAAAAAACGGAGACCGTAATTAGCACTCATGGGGAGTCATTAACGCTTCTTAATTGCATCTTTCCGTGGCAGCATACGTTTTCACGCATCTTCACACGAATACCGCACGAAACCAGACGTCTATACCCCGGCACGAAAGAGTTTAATACTGAGACTCCCGGAAGAACCGGGCGGACTATAACATGTTTCTACCGATTTTTCAAAGCCGACGCTGGCGCCATTAATCAGGGATGAGGAATGGTCCGCAAAATGCACCATAAACACTCTGGAGGACATAATGAGTTGCTCTTCCCATTAGCCCGGCATAATTAATTTTCACCTTCGCGTATAATGAGAGCTATGGACGACAAGCATATTCGATTCGAGATTTTTTTTACGAAAGGGAGAATGAGAGCCATATGCGTGGTGTTGTACAAGCAGGGAACCACAAATAGGCAAAAAAAAATACCTCAAGCTTCCGGTGCATAAGGAAAGAAGGAGAAAGTGGACTCTGCTCGTTAAGACAAAAACCACGAGAGTGACAGAAATCATTTTCACTTCCCGTTCATTAAGTTCAGACAATGGAATGGAATGGAATGGAATATGTGGCAGGACCAAAGGAATAGGAAAGGCTTTTATCTCGATGACATGCCTTATTTCTTTCATTTCTTTCTTTGCCGCACTTCATTTCACTTCCCCGTCTACAAGACCACCGCCATTTCGCAATTCGAGAAAAATCCTCCCAAATCGGGAAGAATCCTCGCATTCGGGAAGAATCCTTTCCTCTCTGCCCCTCATAATAACAAAAATAATGTGAAAATTTAGCTAAACTCTGTGATAAGAAACGATGATTAAAGTAAAATTAAAATCTTCGCAAATGACGGTTTTTTCTTCTGGTTCTAGGGTTTCAATGACCATTGAAATGATGTCAATTTCACATATTTCTTTCCTAAATTGGAATCGTTTCGTATGTTCATGGCTATTCTCGATGATGCAACGGAAAAGAGAATGTTTTATGTTTATTCTCGGTGAAAGACCCCTGGGCCGTACGCACAAATACCCTCAGGCTAGAGAAACCGAGTTCGGGATGCTAAAACAAGGGTCAGTCCTCGAAAAGATGAGGAAAAAGGCAGGGGTCAACGAATTCAACGCCTCCACAACATCGCTCTTTTTTCGTTAAGGCAGGATGGGTGGAGAAGTATTTTGCAAGATCCAGACCTGGAGCAGGAGTCGGATTTTATCCAGGATCTCTGGATCGTGTTCCATGCCCCCATGAGGGGGGCCCCCTTAAAAGAACAAGATGTCTTTCTTCTTCTGTTCTCGAAGGCACTGTCTATACACACTACACTCACAAAATCCCCCTTTTTCGGAGGGAAGGCGAGGCGATCGGCACGGGGCGTGAAGAGGAACTGAGCCGTGCCAGAAGAAGAAGAAGACTCGCCAGAGGAAGTCAAGGATGACAGAACTTCCCATAGAATCCCCTCTTTTTAGATTTTTTTTTAATTCTTTTCTCTCACGCCTCATCCTTTCCCCAGCTGACCATAAAGGGCTTTTCCAAGGACCCCGGACTCGATGACCAGAGGAAGTGGATCGTTCCTGACCTTTGATCTCATAGCCTTGTCTCGTATTGTGCTCTCTTAAGACATCCGCATCCACAAATTGTGTGACATATTTCAGTTCATCGCATCAAGGTCAGAAACTTCTCCATGACTCTAGTTCCTTTATTTCCTTGACCTTTTCTTCCTATGTTGAATGGCGATTCATTTTCGTACTACAGCACGGTTACTTAATAGCACCCGTGGTCATTTCTGCACTTTTGTTTCTAATTCAGCTACAACTTTCTATTTATTTGCTCAATTTCCTTCCATTTTTTTAAGTTCTGTCTCAAATATGGAAAAAAAATTGTCATAGTACCTCGTAATTAGTTTTCTTTACTGGAAAATATTTCCGTTATTCTCTCTCTTACATTCTCTTCAGAACTTCTAATTTTATTTCCACTTACATCCCTGCCCGAAGGGAGGGGGGTATCGAAGGAAGAGAATGGATTTGAATATGCATGACAAAAGGGGAGAAGCCGTGAAGCCGCAAAGTCCCGCTATGGAGGCAACTCGGCTTGAATATCGATGAAGTCTGGCTTGGTTTTTAAATAGGAGGAACCGGGAAAACAGACTCGGCGGAACCATCTAGGAAAAGGAAGAAAGCATTCTCAACGCCGTGTCCAAAGGCTTTTTCTTCTTTATGTATCGATGCATGCGGAGCGGTTGCGCCATTTGAAATAAATAAAAGAAGAGGGAAAGCGTGTTCGTGAAATGCGGGCGGGTCGTGCATGCATAAATTAAAGCGGGATTCTCGCATCGGATTCCACACACAATCATGCAAGACACACCTCTCGAGCACATGGAACGGAGTCGATCTACCTCAGATCATGAGAGCGCTATACACCGAACGGCCGTTATCAACAACTTCGCGAACGTCAAGAACGTATAGGCTTATATGAAGCCAAAATATACGAAAAAGAGAGAATAGTGTTGAATATTGAAAGAATGAAACTGCTTTAAATTTACTTCGAAGTGAACTAAAAACTAAATTACTTCATTATTAGAATTTTTATATATAGAATGGCATCCGTAATTTTTATTATCTTTGAAAGCGTCAATAATGTGGCTTCTCAAAGCACTTTTCGAAATACCTTTGATCCGCCACAAAACCTGATCCTGCCTCCTCAAAGTGTTCCTGCGTAGCGTGCCAAGAATGAGGAGCACTATACCTTGAGGAGATAAGACCTGGATTTAATAAGTGGTCATGACTTCCGCAAATGCTGCACCAATGTTTCTATGCAAATCATGTTTGAAAAAATAAATTGATTAATAAATAAAAAATAACACTGCAATTCGATTCCATGCGATGATCGTTACAAAAGGCACATGATAATAGAAAGGACGTGGAAAAGGGCACGCACCCAAGTCGACATGGGCATAATGGAAGAGAGGAGGGGTGTGTACGTGAAGGGGGGCCGCGAGCGCACTGCACGCACAGGGACGGACGTCCACAGACTGACTGGCGAGGGGAATGTGGGTCGAGAAGAATCACCCCCCCTGGCATCCCACCTTACCGTGATCACCCAAATCCTCCATTCCATCATCGTCATTAGAGAGCGATCTCATATCTCGGGGGTCAACCGCCGCATCCATCATCACTCTCATCTCCTACTACCAGTACTACTCAAATGCTCACCTTCAATGCATACGCATAAATTCCACTCCAGCAGGGAGTTAGCGTTTTATTTTTTAGAATAATCTATCATACTATTGCCAAGTGAATCCTCCACGACATAAAATTAAGATGAATAACACGAGAAAAACCAATCAGAAGTGAACTTTTCATTTTTGTCTCTGGCACGAGAGCAGAAGTTAAAGTTAAACTGCTAACTGAATCAATAACCGATATGGTACGTCATGAACGTCCGACATTAGACTGTTTTCTTTGGTACAAGCAGTGATTGACGATTATAAGGGGAGTAAATAGACGTATATGAGCGTACTGTGGAGAGAGAGAGACTCCGTCGAGAGATGCAAGCGATATGCCAATGGAGGAATGGGGGCCTTGGCGAAAATGGAAGTGTCGAGGTCTTCCTTCACACTGAGAGAAGACCTCGCCCTCTCTCCCTCACTCACTCGCTCTCTGGGAAAAAAAACCCCTTGTTCTCTTTTCGGCCAACAGCGAGCCTATACTTAAACCCAGGGGAGACATTAATACACCCGTGTTATCTTGGGTGGGGTTCCCGACTTTGACGTGTTCATTTCTGTCTCATTCCCCAGCGGCATTCCTGCATAATAGGGAGGGAGATGCCGGTACAGTGTATAGGTGAGGTGGAGTCATGCCTGGTAGCCTGGTGGCTCGGAACCACACATCGTTGGTCCGAATCCTGCCTCATTCCTCCTCTCTTCCCATGCTGTCCATTTCATTTCCGTGATTCTGCTCAATAGGTGTTTCATATTCCTTACTATTTTCATAATCTACTACGTCCACGTTACTGCATCATTTTATATAATATCGAAATAATTGCATTCACAGATCTGATGAATATATGTATTATAGATGGCATGATCGACAGACCTGAACCGGAATTCCACAAACTGCTAAAGGGCCTATTATATATGAAGCATCTAGCGATCTTCATTCTTATGGAAGGCGGTAATTTTTCACGCCTGCAGAAAGATGGCAGCACTGCATGAAGGAGAATCTCTTTATCTCCAAGGAGGAGCAAAGATGTCAACGGGATCGTCTTCCGCAGACCTTCCTCTCCAAACAAACAACAGAACAAACTCACCTCGAACGAACAGAACACCGCAAAAAAATTAAATAATTGGCAAAAAAAAGATCGCTGGGAGATATACTGTACTTCCGTTAACGAAAAAGAAAGGGTTTGCGGCTTCGTTGACTTTTTTGTCAAAGCATGTTCGTGCTATTTGTGACGAGTGTCCCTTTCCTTTGATGCGTTGAACGGTCTCTTTCTGATCTTTCTCCCGCTATCTTTTCTCCCTCCCCCCTCTTCATTATCCAGGTGGAGTAAAACAAAGATCCCATAGCAAACGCTAAGACGCAAAGCTCCCATTCCCAGTCCAAAAATACAGCAAGAATCGTAAGAATCCAGCCACTAGATGAAATTTAAAAATTATTAATGAGCTAACCCAAGGAAAATGGGGGGGGGGGGGGGGGGTTGGATCTTAACCAGCAAAAATAAAAATCGATGGATGATCATTGATGGAAATTACTCACTTAATCTTCCGTGTCGGAATTCGCACTTGTTATGCACTTAGCTGCAATGCCAGAGCCCAAACGTGCTTTCAGAATGAAAACTCTCAGCGATGAGAACGACAAGCCACGTGATGTTTATATGAAGTTGGATAGCTTTTTAATAATATTTAAAAGAAATATTAGCATCCTCGTTTGTAGGACTGTATTCAGCTTTGGTGCCCTCCTGCCCCATTTCTCTCCAATCCCATTCCCTTAATAGAGGCGATAGTTTGTCGTCATCGTCATCGTCATCGTCCTGGTCATCGTCATCCTCACTTTCCCAACGTCGCCGGCGGGGTGAAAGCGGAGGAGGACCGTGTCATCAGCGAAGATGAGACTCGGAAAACCTCCTCCTCCTTACGCAACCCAAATGGTAAATCTCTCTTTCTCTATACTTGTTTCCCATGAACCCACATATGCATTTTATGCTTAAAAAAAAGTATAAATTAATGTGTGAGTGAGTGAACTCACGTCGAGTGACGAAGGATCATCGAAGGCCATCATGCTCCTTTTACTAATGTTGAGTCGAGAGAAAATGCGAAAAGCACACGGGGAAAAGTCGAGTGTAAATGGGGAAGAAGCAGGAAAAGGAAGGAATGAAGGAAGGGGCTTTTCCCGGAACCTTTTCTATCTCGCGAGGGAACGCGAAAACGAAGCCCACTTTCACAACGAGGACGGAGCGAACGTCTGATTCTTTCTGCATTGCCCTATGCTAGCACAGAGGGCTGTGTGCGGAAAATATATGGGGGGCTTATCGAAACGAGGCCTAGGTCGACGATAAGGCCACTTCCTTCTCACTTTCACATCCTCATGCGAAAGGGTCCCAACAGACCAGCCAAGTCATTGCCGAGAAGAATTTATAAAATGAGAATCCGTCAGAAAGCCTAAGTTGTAGAATTCGGGATACCTTTCGCACTGGGAAGAGTCATCGTGACAACGGAACAGAACAGGCAATTGCGGAGCAGCCTGGAGGGCTCAGTTGAATCCCGTTCCTCCAGAGAACGGGTTGCCATAACAACGGGACAGAATGACCAATCACAGGAAAGCCCAGAGGGCCCATGTGGATCCCGTTCTTTCTAGGAACGGCTTGCCTTGACAACACTATAGAATGACCTATCGCAGTGATGCCATAATGAGAAGGTATCTGGAGAAAAAAACCTCGCTAATAGTTGCTACTGCGCATCGAATATTCTCATCAATTTGGGATTGGGAAATTGAAGGGACAGAGAGACACGCAATTGTTTCTTCTTTTTTTTCTCAAGGAATTAAACGCACATGATGCCTATTTTTTGCCCTCGTAATTTCTTGGGATGAACTGCTAGAAAGAAAATTCATATTCCGCATGCGATATGTGACCTCGTATCACGACTTGATTGTTTCAGGCATGAATGAGACTTAATTGACATTTTGAACTTGGCACCACACCCAGCGGGGGGGAAAAAACATCATCGCAATAACGAACGGCATGTTATCTGTGGGAGAAGGAAAGATCACGACCTCTCAGTGCCCTGATGATCTTCATTCCGAATGGCCTCTTTCCATAAAGTCAGATAATGTCAATTTTCTGAATCTGTTTAACCTATTCTTTCTGCTCAGTTTTTTTTTAATTTATTATTTCCAGATGGATAGGAAATTCCTGTCCTGGGGATGAATAAGAAAAAAAAAGAGATAGATAAAAAAGAAAGATATTGCGGGTCCATGATCCAGCCCCCACATCATATCTTAATCAGACCATGGAAGATAAGAATCGTGTAGCCAGTTGCTATAATCGTTGCATCAAGTTCATCTTTCACCTCGGCTGGTGACTGTTGGAGAT